GTGACAGTCCCCTTTAAACACCCCTTCCAGCATGGTGTAAGCACCATGTTTTAGTGCTAGACTGCGTACAAAAATGACAGACCAGGTGTGGTTTCCTGGGCCATCAACTGGAACACATTATAAGAAATTCCACATTTTTTCTTTTCCCTTCTGATCCACTCCTTTTTTTGTATCTAGCTTTTCTAACTTTATCATAATGTGTTGCCTACTTTCTAGCCATTTTTTTCCCTTTTATTCAATAAATTTACAAATAATTCACTATTAAATAAGTGTTTGAGATTTTGGGTCTCAAACAAAATTTTAGTTTTATTTATTTCTGTGTTGGAGAGATGATCAACTCTTTTGTGTATGGTAGGGTTTAAACTTTGGCTAAATGTTTTAAGCACTGACATTGAGGTGTGTGCATATGCATGAGTTATGATGGCTGGTATAAATTGGAAAAGATGACTGCAAAAAATCCCATGAGAGATAATCTGACACTAAGATGATCTTGAATTTCTGCATCTCAGTAGTGTTTAAACTGATTAAAATATATTTTTCCACCCCTTCCAAAATATAATCCGAAAAACCTTCAAAGGATTAAAGTCAGTTTTTCTAGAGGAATCTTTTACGAAGTGTCAGAAGTGATGTGTCTGTAAGTTTGTTCGGGATGCTCTTGTGGTGGTATGTATCTTTTGTGGAATCTGTTTCCCTTCCTCAGAAGTCATAGGACAACTGTGTGTCATGGGCTTTGCTTTGCTGTGAGTGCTGTAGATTCAAGTAAAACTGTTTGAGGAAAGAAAGAATGTCTTGGATGCAGTTGCAGTGATAATTCCATGCTTCAAATTTGTGGTAGAGTCTTGCAGCTGTGCTGCACTGTGCACTTCTCATCTTGTCAGTCTTTGCATTGTTTTTCTATACCTATCATACCAAAAAATCTGTATCCACCTCTTCTTAGAAAGCCCCGTAACTGAAGAGCAAGGCTGGTAGAATTACTGTATTGATTTATTTATTTTATTAAGTCTTGAACTTGAGATAGTCTTCCTGATAATTTAAAATGAGAGCTCTGACATGTGCGCATACAGCACTGTGTGAATGTTCCTTTATCACAAAAAGATACCTGGTTGGTTCAGGTATCTCTCTGGAACAAGAACTGTCTGCTGAGTGATGGACTTCATTAAAAAATTAGGAAAACTGACAGACAGTGCTGTCTGTAAGGCTTTGGTAAAAAGTCTTTAGGGGAAGGGTTCCACAGTATGTTGTTGTTAGTATGGTGTTCAGAATGGATGAGAATGTTTTTCAGTTTATATTGAAGTTTCTGGTTTGCTCACAAGACCAGAAAATTAAAGGGTTTTTTGGTGCACTCTGCTTTGACGTGTTTGTTATGCTAACAATTCATTTATTTAGCACAGGAAGATCAGTTTTGAGCACATGTGAAATTTATGTAATTGTGTTGTGAATTTCAAGTACTTAGAATGTATATAAGAAAATTATCATGAGACTATTTAATTCTCTAGCCTTTCAACCATAATTTAATCCTGTGTTGAGCCAATGTGATGCATGCTTGATTGTATCTTTATCCTTCATAACCTTTGACGTCCATTGTTCTGAACAGGGGGATGGTAATTAATTTGTGAAAAGAATTTTTCGGTACAGACACCTGGCTTCTTTTTTGAACTGCTGGCAGGAGCTCATTCAGACCAGTCTCTCTGGTATTAAAAGGCAAGTGTTGATTCCTTCTGTGTGAAAGTTGGCTTGTCTGGATCTGAACTTATGCTGAGAAGTGATGTGGTATTTAAATCCTGACACTGTATTTGGAAAAACAAAATCTCTGCCAGAGTTTCTGTAATTGAGAAAGCTTCTTTCACATTTCAACTGCTTCAGTCATTGAACACAAATTCCTTCTTATGGGATCAAGTTTGACTGCTATTTTCTACCACGACGAGTTTCTGTAGAGAAATACGTGGTGCCGTCAGTAAGTTTTATTTGTAGAAAGGCTGTTATGCTAGTAAAAAAGTAAATCTCCAAGCAATATGGTGTTATTATTGCTAAGTGCTCATCCAAACTGACTATTCCAAAGGGAGTTTCAGCATGAAGATCTGATGCTCCTAATGCATCTCTCTGCATGCAGATTGATGTTAGTAGGTGGACCGGCAGTCCAGTGGGTGCTCACCAGGCTGCTGGGCTTGTGCCTTTGTTAGTGTGCCACTGGATCTGTCCAGGGACAGATGTTCTGGCAGTCTACCTGCATGGGGTTTACTTTATTAGATCTGTTTGTTCAACCTATGTTTCCCTCATCACTGGACCAAAAACCAAGCTAAAGTCCAGCATGTGACCTTACAGCTTAGCACATACGAGTAGCTGACTTGTGGGATGCATGTAACTGAGCTATCAGGTTCTGTTGATTTAGGGAAGTGCAAGCCTGGGTACTTAAAAATATCAGCAGCTCTTTGAGTAGACACAGTCAGCCATATTCTGTCCTGAGTGTAGGACATGTTCCTGAACCACATGACAAGTGAAATGTTTACAGGTCTGCTGGGGCCATGTTAACAGATAGGGTTTCTGAAAAGTTGAAGCAAAATCAAGATTTCATTTGAGTTTTGGGCATGTCCTCAGGAACAGTCTAGTAGAAAACGAAAGAAATGCAGTTGATTATTTAAAAAATAACTGAACAGATTGATCTCCTTTCTACAAAGATGAATTTACATTTTCTGTGTTTTGTTTCAGACCTTTCAAAATTCTAAGGAAGAATGAGGCCATTTGACTTCAGTGCCAAATTTGCATGAGGCAGTGACTACTCCATCTATTTCTTACTACCTTGTGTGCTGCATAACCTCTCAGCTGAGATAGGACTTGTTTTCTTTGTTGCCAGAAGTTATGAATGTCATTAATGTGTTTTTGACCTTGTAACACCCAGGGAGCGTTGGTATCTCAGTGTTATGGAAAAAGACATCATTGCCTTCTCAAGTTTTCTTGGGGACTTGAGGGTAATTTCATGTTAAATTATTCCACAGTCTTAGAGCTAGTTGTGTCCAAAGAACCAATTTATCTGTAGGAGGTTACACTGCTCTTTTTTTTTTATTGCTCTCAGGCCCAATACTCTTCTGGGAAAGAGGAATTTAATGGAGAGTATAATAAGCAGAAACTACCATGGATGGGACTGACTGCTCTGAGAACTCACGTAGTGTGAGGAGGCAGTCCTCTCCACTGCCTTGCTGAAGATGGTTGGCAGAGCAATTGCTCTTCTCCAGGTCAGGACCCAGACTTAAAACCTTCTTGTGGAAAAGCTGAAACATGGAATTATTTATCTGTTGCAATGAAATTCCAAGGCTGGGGCCAGAGAATCGGGGTCTCTAACCTACCATTTCTGATTGTGCACGGGAGGACTTTAATAGGCTATTTCCAGCTCTTTTCTGTTGATGGCATTGTAAGTGGTTCTGGCTACCAATACCCAGGTAACTGGGCTTCAAAACTTGTGTGAATCTGAGAGGTTCTGTTGTCAAAAACCAGTGAGGTTCTTGTTTGTACCACTATCTTCTGCTCTTCTCTGCTCCCACCCCTTTCTCTGAGACCCCTAAGCAGTCTGGGGAAACAACAAAACAAAGGGACTTGAGTGAAAGCCAAGATAATGTGGCTTTTATTGCTTCAACATAAATAGGTTTGAAGAGGGGATATATATGAGATGCTTTTAAGAAACAGAAATTTCAGTTTGACGTCAAGAAAGACATTATCTTAAAAGTTTTTCTTTTTTATTTCCCCCTCTATAGACTTTCTCACGGTTCAGATGCAGTCAAAAAGCCAAGTTCCATCATGGCCTTATTTTTACAAGAGAAGACGTTATAAAAGAGATCATGTAATAAGCAAAAGTTGTAGTTTTAGACATCTCTACTTCCAGATTTACAGCAATTTGCTTGTCTCAGAAAATGATAAAAAGCCTTGACAGACATGATTCTTCACCGGGTTTCTTCTTGTCCAAGAAGAAAAGTTCAGCTGTCTTTGCATTTTTTAGTACTTCTTTTTAAGGGAAAAAAACCCCACAACCAAAAACCAAACCAAAACAAAAAAACAACAAAAAACCCAAAACAAACAAAAAACCAACCAACCAACCAAACAAACAAAAAAAACCCCCAACCAACCAAACAAACAAAAACCCAAAAAACCCCACAACAAAACAAACAAAAAAACCACAAACATTTGAAGTGAAAACTGTGCAGGACTTTGCTTGTGCAACAGTAATCGAGTGATTTGTGTAAAGTGAGTGAGTGGAAGTATATACTTGAATAATTGCTGCTATCAGAGAAGAGAAATAAACTGAAGTGAGAATCCTGGTGAACGATTTGAAGCTCAAGGGCAACCAAGGCTTTCCAAAGAAAGAGGGGAATGGAACAATGTTTAAAACTCATTGTGTATTTAGAAAAATTGTAACTAGTTGGTCACAAGTTATTCACTGTGAGCTTTTACTTAAAAGTTGTCTGGTTTTGCTTCAGTTGAGGTGACAGGGTACATGACTAAAAATTCAGAAGTTCCTAGGCAAAACTTAATGAAACCAAACTTGGTATTTTGAGGAAACGGAGTAGAAAATTTCCAGCTTGTCAGTATGCATCATGTACCGTTTAGAAGATACCCTTTGCAGTTTCAGTGCCTGTGCCCACCTTATATGACACAGAACATTGTCATCCAGAGTTTACAGCAGTAAGTTGGAAATTGACTCCAAAGTGAAGGTGGTGAACTTTCAAAGTGGCAATTTCCTTAAAAACATGTAGTTCTTAATGCAAGCTGCCCCAAGACCACTAGAACTTCCCCCCCCCCCCTGTTATTGTGCCTAGATATTATTAAATTGAAATTAGATTTCCCATTTCTCATTAAGCATTTGCAATCATAAATAAATCCTGATAGCATAATGTGGGGAAGTAGTTTGGAAGGTGAAACACAAGACGAAGGGCAGTGTAACTTACTGCATAGAGTTTTTCAGTTCCCTTCAAAATATGAGTGTCAAGGTGATCTTTTTATTCCTTTTCCAAGGTTCTTGAACATACTCTTCAAAGAACTAATGGCAGGTGACTGCTGAGGATAACGAATATGCAGTTGTGTAAATCTCAACTGCATTAAATTGAAACAAAAGTTTAGAATAGAGTCTCTTAACTAGGGAAGGACAGAGATGTGTTTTGGGCATTCCTGCAGGTCAAGTAAACCTTTAACAAGCCATCATGTTTTGTCATCTCTGTATTAAAGTACAAAGGTTTTATGTGGTATTTTTCCACTATTTAGAAACATCAGCAGTGTTGTTCTGCAAACAAATTTGGGAAAGCCATTTTAAATCTACTACATCACTGCTAACATTCCAAGTGTGTTTTGGAAATTTTCTTTTTAGGTAAAGCTTTAGCTGTGTCCTTAGAATAAACAAGAACTATGTCATATGACAAGGGTAGTGAAGCAAACATTTTTCTCTTTTCCTGTCGCAAGTCACCCTGAACTATAACATCATTAATTTAGCAAATTGCTTTTACTGCTTCCTAATAAGTTTGTTAGGGCAGAGATGGGGAGTGCTTGCATGAGAGAGTTTAGTGGAAGTGGGAGCATTAGAGTATAGGGATGAGCTGCAAATGAAACTCCTGGAAAATGATAATGTAGATTGAAAACTGAGGTTCTGGGACAGAGATAATTTAATTTAAAATTTATAAATTTTGCAGATTCATCCCCTCTGAAATTTTCACCTTCAAGCTGGGCTGCAGTGGAAAATTGTGTGAAATTAAGTTGATTCTAAATTAACTGAAAACTTCCCTGTGGAAGTTCTGTATGGTGGGCCTTCTGCCTTCTATTGAAAAATGGGCTAGATATAACCAAATATATTTTTCATTCTCTATTAAAGAATATGTTGAGATAGTCTAAATATTTTCTAAAGTGCTTTAATTTATTTTGTGCTCCAAAAAGCTGTCTCATGTTTCTGTTTTCTGCATCTACATTTATTGAGCGATTTTCAAATGTTTGTGTAGCATCTGTAATAGAATCTCAGAAATATTTTTAGGCGTGCATTGGTACAAATCTAATGTAAATACTCCAGTGTTTTGGGTTGGAAAGGATAAGAACGCTGAAATAGGGCATGCATGAAATGTTAATATATGGGTGTGCTGTGTTAAAAGGGCATAGGTGTACTTTTTGAAGTGGCTGAGTCATAATGGAGCAATCAGTTACTTTCCTATACAGTGGAATATCTAATTTTATTTATTAAAAGTACCTTGTCTTGTTTGCAGACATGCACAAACCGCATTATAAAATATTTCTGTAAGTAATGTTCTGAACCATGACATTTACACTGACAGTAGAGTATGTTACAACCCTTGTGAATTTTAGCTTTCTTCTTTGACTATGCCTGCCTAGTGTTCCTAGGTGAAAGTGCAAATGGTTGAAAAAACATATTCATAGCCCACCTTGAACCAAGTTGCTGTTGGGGTGCCTGCTCTCAGACCTGGAGCACAGCTTACAGCTTTATGCACCAAGACAGTGTTGATTGGAGATCAGCAACAAGTTGCAAGCATGTAACACTTGGAGTGGAATTCTGCTTTCCGTTTGGAAGGATATTCATTATTTTCCCTTCAGGTCTAATTTTTGGACATGTGTGAAGAAGGAATCTAATTGAGGAAGAAATCATTTGATTTCCAGTTGGCCCGGGCTTGAATTTTTTAATGGATAAAACTGCATAGTTCTGCATGGCTTTGCCTCTAGTTTTCCAACAAGAAAAGTGGTACAATAAACTGATATTTTGTTTGGTTTTGTTTGTTTGTTACACATAACTCGTTCCTGTGGGTATATAACTGTGGTCTTTACTTATGTTAGTATTTTCTCAGTTCTGCTATCTTCAGGCTCTGTCTTCCTGCAACAGATGAATAATTGTGATCCTGTGGCAGAAATACAGAGATACAAAGCTTTGATTCATTTGGAAGGGTGCACATTAGCGAAAGAAATACTTCAGAAGATGTAGTTGCTTTGTTGCATCTGTTTTGCTGGCATTTTGGACTTCATAAATACTGGCATTAATTACCAGAGTGACTGCAGAGAATACAAGTTTTTTCATCCAGCTGCTGTTTGCGAAATAGCAGGGAGGATGATTGATGTGATGCAATAAGCTGAGCCTGTTGTATAAGTCGAGTGGAGTGCAGGATACATCCTGAAACTTTGTTGAATTTGTGCTAAAACTTTGAGTACAAAGTAGACTCTTAGTCTGCGTATCCACTGAATGTGTTTTGCCTTAATTTAAAAATGTTTTAAATATTCTCCAGTACTCGAACTACTAAAGTAGTTGAAGAACTAAGGGCAGTATAGTCTTTCTTCACCAAAATTGAAATTTCTCCTGGGGCATGTCCTAGTATTCATTTAAAGTACAGTAGTCTTTGTGTGACATCAACATATACTTTCCTAACATCCATAGCTAAAAAGGAAGAGGATTTTGCACTAAATTCCTTCTGTATTCTGCATACTTCTGTGTGTGTGCATGTGTATGCTTCCTCAGTTAATCACATCTGTGCCTGAGGCTTGCATCAGTCTTCCTCTCATTAAAAAAAGACAGAAAATGTGGTAATACCTAACACCTGTATAGGCTTATCTTCAAAGCATCAAGCTTAGTTAGTGAGCATCAAGTTAATTACCTTTATACTTTATGAAATATTTTTCTTTGCAGTCCTTTAAGAAAAAGAAGTTAACATAATTTCTGCAGTAATGGATTTTAGTGTATCTCTTATCAATATCTTATTGTTTGTCACGATATATATATTCAAATAATACTTAACCTTTTAATTCTACTGGTTTTGGAGTTGTGGTGCTTTGTTCCCTTTTTATCTTTGCTGAGATAATTTTTAAATAGAGCTTTTCTTTCCAAAAGATGCAGCTGTGAGGTCCATCTGTTCATCAGAAAATTTGTGCTTCATCTTTTTTTAGACAAACTTCACAGCCTGAAAGAAATATGTCTGCAGTGTTCAGGATGAGAAAGGGTTGTTCGCTCTTCCCCACAGCTTTTGTGACCTTCACAGTCATGAAAAGTAAGATTGAGCCAGGTTTGATAAGGGTAGGGACTGCTCGAGCTTCTATTTATAGCTATGCTAAAATAGCTCCATCTTAGTTGCCAGTAGACTTGGGAAAAATGAACTAAAAAGATTAGCAAACATTTCTAAGCATTTATGTTATTTCTTTTCACCTGCAAAAATTCAGTGGGCAGAATTTGAATATCCAGAACACTCATCCTTATCAATTAGACTTTTCCTCCTTCCTTTGCAAATTCATATGTGATTATGCAGTCAGTACAGTGTGCATCCTGCAGACAACAGCCTTCTTCTTTAAGCAATCTTACAGTCTTTCTAGAGGAGATGCACCATATTTACTGCATAAGGAAGGGGTCCTGTTTGGAAAAGGTGCCTGTTACAGTGGACTGCTGCCCAGGAATGTCTGAGTTAAGACAGGGCTGGAGCTACACTGGCCCAACACTGCCTGCTTGGCAGTGTCTGTCAAATAGTAGATGCAAACTCTGTGGATGCTTGAGAGCCCAAGTGCTGTCGTACCCTACTACACTCAGCAACGTGTGTGGGATTAGGAGTAACTAATTTGCAGCCTGTGTAGAGAAGCAGAGGGGCTGAGCTGCAGTGGTCCATCACTTCTGTAGCACTTCTCTGGAGCAGTTGCTGAACGTGATCTCTGCTCAGTGGATAAAGCTGCTGGTTGTGAAAACACAACCATAATGTTTTATGTGCTCACTGCTTAATGCTTTCCCAGAGACTTGTGTTAAAATCTGGTTTCTAGCAGTAGTAACAGACGGCTTTGTTAGTCTTTCATACACTCTTGGTCAATAGTCTGTCAGTGAATGAATTTGGTACATATTCTCAAAATGTTACCTCATCCATAGGTACTCTTTTTCTAGGCTGCCAAAAATACTATACTTTACAACTGGGGAGAGAAGTGGCCAACACAAAATAGCTTTTTTTCTTTGCCTTATCTTAAAGCATAAATCCATTATTTTAAAATCGTGAATGGGAAAAAGTTAGTGTTTTCATTGCTTAAGGGCTGGAGAAGTTACAAAATAATTTTCTTTTGCCTGAGCTTATTAGGTGTCTTGTGAAACTTTTCTTTTTGGTGTATCCCTCTTGAAAAGGTTTTAAGTCACACAAGAAACTATTTGCAAAGTCTTTGTATGTGACAGGGTTTTAATCTAACTTCCTAGACTGTTTGTGACGCACCTGCCTCACCAACAGTCCTTGAGGTATTTATTATACCTTCCTAGCCAGATGAGTAGGCCATGTGGAAATAAATATGCATGTTTATTTAAATATATTATACATAATTTTCTTTTTGTTCCAGTTATTTTGTAAGCTTGGAGACTAATAAAATGAAACTGAGTTAAAAAAAATCTGTGCAAGGTATTCACTCTGGAAAGCTTTAATTTTCCCCAGTGAGTGACACATTTGTCTTCTGTCTGCAAATCTGGAAAATTTATTTAAATGTATGCTTCCTCTTTCCTTTACATGGAATTAATATAGACGAGAATTAGGCACTGAAAGAAAGAGTAAAATCAAATTTGATAGAAGAGTCACAGTTGAGAGCTTGGTGAAAACCTGTCTTTTTCTTACAAATACAAGAAGAGAAGTGTTATCATAGGATCTCTTACTTCTGTTTGATCTGAATTTACTATTGTAATGTACAGTGTCTAGATTAAACCTTTAAAGCATCCTTTGGTTGTCTGAAGAGCTATTTGTGAATTAGGAGGAGTTAATTATGGTTAGTTAATTTTGCATTAGTAAGTGGGATTTCTGTATTCTTATGCCTCAGGATGCATGCTGTTTGCCACAGAGATAATTAACATGTCTCCCCCCTTTTACCTTTTTGATATTGGGTTCAACTGACAAACTAGTTTCTCCAAGTATGGGGTCCTATGCACAGTGGGATTGAATTGTTCAATGCATGTACACAGCAGACCAGTGTCTCCTGCTGAGCCTTGCTTGAGGCTTTAAACTTGCTATGGGTATGAAAATGTTTTTTGAAGATTGTGGAAATTAATTCTACGTGCGTGTGTGTGTGTGTTCCCTGTCACCAGAGCCAGAGGCCGGAGTGGAGAGGGGCCCATTATAATCTCATTTTCTCTTAGGAATCCCAGGTCAGATTCAGTTTTACTGTGACTGTTTCCTAAGAATGTTTTAATTTCAACACCTTGCCTCAGCTGAGAGCCTGTTTCTGCTGCTGGGTTCCTGCCGTTGTGTCTGGAGGCTGTTGTCAGTGTGTGTTTCTTGTAACCTGTGTGTTCCTACATGGTTCTGTTAACTGTTGTAGTCAACGATGCCTATCTTGTACTGTCCTCACAAAGGCAAATCCTTCTGTTTTGTGATGAGAGTTGAAAGTTTTACACAAATGGGTCTCTGAATATAGAAAAAGGCTTGTCTTCAGAGAGAGAAGGAGGTGCATGGTAGAGCTCTCAAAGTTAGTATATTCTTATTAGTTTTCTCTGAATGATGGGGCAAGAGAGACCCAATTAATTTTCCACTGAAGAAAAAGCACGCATTTGCTTTTAATTGGGCACTAAAGCATTTAACTATAAGGAGCACTTCTGCCAACCTGGTTTATGCAGTTTATTCATGTAGTCCTTATTCTGCAGGGCTTTCTACTCCCCCAGTGGGTAACTTCTGTCAACATTTCAAGGGCAGGTTTGCTGCAAAAGAGATGTGAGGCTCAAAAGGCAATTTTTGATGGGGTATTTAGATTTGGTACTTTCTAAACTCCTCAGTTCCATCTGTTTCTTGCTTGATAGGACCTGATCTTTTAAGTAAAACTTTACTATGGAAGTACTTCCATCTCCAGCTTTCATTCCTGCTGCTCAAAGATAAGATACTTCTAAAAGTGCTAAGGTGGCTTTACCCCTGGAAAGAAAAGAGTGAAATTGTTTAAAACACTGCTACTTGAAATTCTGTGTGTGTATACATTATTCTGAAAGATCATTATAATTAAGCCTGGAAACAGCATATCTCCCGCTGTTTGTTTTTTAATAAGATCTTTTTTCCCTAGAAATGAATAAACAAAAGCCTTTTGAATAGATACACAAGAAGAGGGCCCATAATACATTTCCCAAAGTGTCTTCACCTCCTCCCTTCTCTGCCCTTAAATAGTTTTTGGATAAATCAAATTGTTTGAAAGTACATGTATGAATATCTAAGGCATATGTAGGTCAGTAAGTTGCTTAGACTTCCAAAGTTATTTTCACATGTAAGCAAATATTAGCATTTGGCATTAAATGGGAACTATGACTTGCATAATAAATGTAAAACACTGAAATTAAAATGCTTAATCTACTCTGTCACAAAAAGTATCCATGTATTTGTTTCCTGTTCTCTTAAATAAACCAGCTGACATAATTGGTGTTGGAAAATGCTCTGGGTGACTTTTTGCAAAATAACATTTGATCATGTTAGAATTTTTTTGCCAGGTGAATGTAAAGCAGTGAAGCATATAAATGTTCCTGTGCCTACCATGTGATAGGTAACAGGTGCAAAGGCCTTGTTGAAGCTCAGGCTTCTCTCCTGTTAAATTTTTTTGCTCAACATTGTAGCTGGGTGAAATAAAGGAGTACTTAACAGTAGTATTTTTTTTATTCAACTCCTTGGAAAGATCTTCCCTTTAAGGTGGAGCATTAATTATTATCCTGAGGCAATTGGGAGCCTCCTATTGTGTTTAAACATAAACAATCCAGAATGAGTAGAGGTGCTTTATACAGACTTACTTATTCCTGCCTCTTTGTTTTGGTTTCTAATATTGGGGCAACGCTATTGATAGCTAAGAAGACTCTTGCCACCGTGGCTGTACCATGAGAGAAGGCAACCATCAGACACACAGCAATAGGAAGATATTCCTGAAAACAGCTGATTTTGGTTTTGATGACCTGGGATGGAAGTCTACCTTCGTGGATTTTTTAAACTCTGAATGTTGATAAAGCTGGCTGCTGCTTTCCAAGAATACTGAAATATACTTAAGTAGTTCTGTTGCTAGATGTTTGTGAAACCTTTATTAAATAAAATATTAATTTGAAAATACCCAGTCTACTTGCACAAAGCATGAAAGACATTCTTAAGAAACTTAATGTTGCTCTTAACAGTTTATCATTGATTATAAAGTTTTTATGTGGGGACTTTATTTTTTAATTTGGTCTTTTTAAGGCAGAATTCTAAAAGAGTTAGGGTAAGAAACAGCCTATTATTGTGGAGATGTCTGAAAAATGCCTGTATTATGCATGCCTTTGTCACCATCAAGTGCTGGAATTGCAACTGGAAGTTGAGATGCATGCTTTGTCCTGAAGGAAGTTTTGTATTTTCTCTGATTATTTATAGGAGCAGAAGGCTAACCTGAAATCCTTTGGAAGCAATTTACGTAACTGTTAAAAATGTAAAGAAAGCTTATTATTATAACACAGTATTATGCAGCACCTAATACATGATGTAAATTCGTGAGAAACATCTGTCTACTTCTGCACATATTATAGTTTGCATGACTTACACAGTAAGAGTCTTGAGTCTGCAATTGGAATTTGAGAAAAATAAGGCAGCTGCATCTGCAGCTGAACTAGTCAAGATGTGGGCCATACCTGGTCTGAGGAAGTTGTGACTGTTTACACGGCAATTTAGTGACTTTACATAATGTGTGATTGCTGACAGCACTTTGTCTGTTACAAAGTAGAAATAATACTGCTTCAAAATCTGAAAGCATAAAGTGTCATTTTCCCTCCTACTCGTGGTGTCACAGAAAATTCACTTCTGGAAAGCGAGAAGTATGGCTAAAACACGTTTAAAATAAGGTAGTCTTTTGACATGCACTGCTGTAGTTAAAATGTGACACATAAGATGATTTGATTGAAAAGTCAGTTCCACTTGACAGAAAGAATGGCCAGATTTTTTTTTCTTGTGATGGAATTTTAAAGGAAGAATTGAAATCAGAAAGTAGGTGTTTAGAAATGCTGTTTGTTCTGTTACTGTGTAGTTTCATAATAGCTTTCATTATAAAGCCATGAGGAAAGTTAAGGGTAAATTCCTGTGTGGGAGGAGGGGCATATAAGCTTTTCTGATTCTCTTGGTATATACTGCTCTGCAACATGCAGAGCACTGCATAACGCAGTGGTTGTTCCAGGGCTTTTTACCTTGTTGGGGATCTCAACAGGAGATTTTGTTAGTATACCTGAGTATGTTTCTGTTTGATCATGTTCGATCACATATAACTCCACAGGGGTTCAAAAGAACGCAGTTAAAAACAAGAACAAATTCTCCTCAGGACAAGACAGCTGGGATGGTGGGATTTTCTGACTTTTTCTTGGGCAGTATTGTTCACTCTCATCCAAGCTGCTGCAGTTCTCTCTGCAAGTCTGTAGATAGCCAAGAACATCTCCACTGAGGGTACTGGGCAGACGCAGTACATTTCTCATTGTAGGATATCCTTCCCATTGCAGTGTGCTGTGGGACCAGGTTGGTGTCAGCATCTGCACTTAGTGCCAGTCAGAACTGGTTGTAAAGTACTGATGGGGATGGACACAAGGGTCCCCAAGGTAAGAGCTGCCTTGGAAGCAAATTTTTAGTTTAAAAGAAAATTATTTCAATAACAGTGAATCTGCCTATACAAACATTGTAAAATTTGTAGTTGGCTGGTGTATGTATAAGGGCTGGAAACTTCTTCTGAAAGAGTGATTAAATGAGAAGAGTAGTGAGTGAGTTGCTTTTATTGTATTTGAAAGATTATGCTTACCTTGTACATAGTTTGTACTTGTTTGGTTTTTTTCCACCTTTAAGTGGTAGCGAGTCTTGAAAGGAATGTGCTGGGCCTGGGTTGATTGTGGTGGTCAGGGTTTGGATAGATCCTTTATTTCCACCTCTCAAACACATACACAGAAGTTCTTTTTCTGTTCCGTTCCTATGTTCTCAGTAGATGTATTTGACTGCTTAACATCTATAAAGTTAATATTGTGGTATTTCCCAGAGCTTTTGCTCCTCGTGGAAGCCTGTTTTGGTCAGTACTTACTCTTTGTTTTTGTTTTGTCAGCAGCCATGCAGCAGGTCTTAGACAACCTTACTGATCTGCCGACATCGACAGGCGCTGAAGAAATAGACCTGATTTTTCTTAAAGGAATTATGGAAAACCCTATCGTAAGATCACTTGCTAAGGTATTTAAACTTGCTGCTCTGAGTAGAATCTTGAAATATTTTAACCCTTAAATTATTGTGCGAACCCTGAGTATGGATTGAGGTGTTAATGGCTTTCACATATGGTATGTCTTATTAAAAGAATTGAAGGCAAGCTTGAAGGTCAAGATTTGTTATAGTATAATTTCTGTGCCTGATGATTAATTGTTGTATGTAAGATTCTAGAGGAAGAAGAAGAATTCAGAGACTACAAAAATAATGTGATTACATTATTTATGAAGAAAACATCAAAATACTTGAAATTAGAGGCAGTTGATTTTAATGTAGTCTTGTAACCACTGTTGTGTGCAAAACCCATATGCCTTCTGACTTTTAGCATTTTTGCCAAAGATGAGAAGTGAGAGCAGTAACCTTCTTTCTCCTGTGGCATAAACAAGTTCTCTTTTTGTCTTTAGCTCAAAACTACTTTCTCATCAGCCCAGGAAAATATTGTCTCCATGCCCTTTCCTGGATCTCGGAATAATGCTGTTACCTTTGATTGTCAGCTCTCTGAGACATTGACTATCCTTAGTTTTGGTCTTGGGTTACAAAAATCTTTTATTTATAGATGGTAGCAATCAATTATGAATACGTAAGGTGATATTTGCAAAAATCTTTGGACTCTGTAATTAAAACGTAGCTGGTCTTACCAGTAGGAAATACAGTCAAATATTGTACAGGACTTACATTCTTTCTTAATTTTACTTCATAAAAATAAGCTCCTTTCATGAGGAAAACCCAGTTAACTTAAATGCAACTGTGTCTTTAATAGGAATAGACATCTGAAAGCAATGCCCTCTGGGCAGGTGTGTAATACTCTGTAAAGCTAAAGGATTGTTGTGCAGGGATTTTGCTCAGTATAAAAATCTGGAAAGGAAAACTTCCCATGAGAATTCGTAGAAGAATTTACTTCTGTTAAGCTGTTCCAAAAATTGTTTTTAAGTCAAAGACATTGCATAGTAATAAACTTAGAGGTAATAGAAGTGCCTCATCTGCTGGTGAGATGACTGTGAAGGGAAAGATTTTGTACTAAATTTACTAGATTAAGTAAAAGCATTTTCTTGCTGAAGTTGGAAACAACTCTTTAAGTATCTGCTGCATAGGTCATCTTTAATTTAATATTTATCATGAAGAAAATGTTCATTGCAAAGTTTTTTTCCTATCAAGAATTTGTGCTTTAATGGCCAATTACAATTATGTGGAATTTAATGACTAGCAGATGTAAAAAAAGTGATTATAGTGGAAACAGATTCTTAACTGTACACATGCTTTATATAGTAATACTGAAAGATTTAAATTGTGTTCACATGGCACGACCGCACTCATTTTCTTTTATAATTATTTTGGAAAAAATCTCAGTCTTAGCCAGCAGAACTAAATAAGGGTAAGTTCAAAACACATTTCCTGAAGTGTGTGTAGTTCATACATTTGTATGATATCCATTTGTCCCTAATATCCATTGTCTCAAATGTCCATTTGTCCCTAAAAATACATAAATTTGTTTTTCTATTGAAGGAGCTAGTTTTAACAGTATATAGGAATTCTCAGAACCCTGAGATGGCCACATTATTTAGGCAGAATAATTTCAAAGCAGGCCAGAATTATTTTCATTTTCCTTTATTAGCCAGTCATTAAGACTAATAATTATGTAAATGATGCCGTAAAGGACAAAAAGAAACTTAGGGAAATGGGCCACAAGCCATACAAACTTATTTTTTCTTTTCAGTCCTTAAAAAAAAGGAAGGTAAGCAAAAAGCATAGTAGTTAGTTTATAACATTTTGCAGTGCAAAGCTTGGCTGATCTTTTAAAACTGGGTTAAGTTCATTTTACACTTTTCCTGTGTAGAATAAAGGCATCAAGGTAGAAATTACAGATCTTTTTGGGGATAGGGTTCTTTGATGGTATCTTTCCATTTTTTGATAGGTGGCAGGAGAAAGGGGAAGTAACTGCAATAATTGTAAAATATTTTTTCCTGTTACTTACTGATGTTTATAGAATCATAGAGTAGTTTGGGTTGGAAGAGACCCTTAAAGGTCAGCTAGTCCAACCCCCCTGCAGTGAGCAGGGGCATCCTCACCTAGATCGGGTTGCTCAGAGCCCAGTCCAGCCTGACCTTGAATGTTTCCAGGGATGGAGCATCTGCAGCCTTTCTCTGGGTGACCTGTTGCAGTGTTTCACCACACTCATCCTAAAAACTATCTTCCTTATATCTAAGCTCAGTCTCCCTTTTTTTAGTTTTAAATCATTATGGCTTGTCCTGTCTCTATGGGCCCTGCTAAAAAGTTTTTCCCATCTTTCTTATAAGCCCCCTTTAAATATTGAAATACTGCAATTGGATATTCTCAACCCTTAACAACTTCAACTCCTTTGCTGACATTTGTGTTCAATCCTCACTAGCCTTTCTTTAGAATTATTATGTTTTTTTGAAAATAGTTGTTGAGCTTGGAACGTGTGAAGTCTATTCAGTTTTGCTACTAAACTGTCTTATCAGAATTCTCTTCTCCTGGATTGTTAACTATTCTTTCGAACCTCAAACCTTTATCTTCTTTCTGCAGTCACACTATTGCTTTTAGCACTGTATGCCTGCAGCATACCAGCACAGGGCCTAACTCAGACCAAGGAAACATTTTAGGAATAATCTATAAAATTTGAGTCCAGTATTTAGGATGTCATGTTGTTGGAGGTAAAAACCTTACTATTTGAGCATTTGGCAAATACAATAAATGTCAAATGCACTGAAAGACTCAATTTAGTATCTCTGTTTCTGGAAAAGATGAGTTCAAATAACAAAAAAAAAATTGCAGTATTTAAGTTAGGTATTCCTGCTTGTTTATTGGTTTTTTAAATTATTCATGCCACTCCATATCCTGCTATTCCTCAATATATTACAGGATCAGAGGTTGTTCACTGATAAAACTTCCCATTCTCTACTATATACATGGCCTTGATTTTGGAGTGAAGGGTGAGGATATTTGTATTTAGATTATACTCAGTGGTAGTACTTCTAAAAAGAATGTGTGAGAAAGAAGATAACCCATATTCTCTAATATCATAAAGGTTCTGCAATTGGATTATGTTTAGAAGTCCTAAGATTTGTATGTTGCTGTAAACAAAGTAAACTTTAAAAAGACAATATTGTTTACTGTATGTATTATGTACAAAATAGCATTCCCTTATTAAAGAGAATGTGTGTAGGTGCCAAGCTTCCTATGACTTTATAATCACAGTCATTTGGTTTGTGTGTGTTGGTGTTGGGGAATGTTTGAAATGTCTTTATGGTAAGTTAGCCTTTCCAGAGTTTGATCATCAGTCTAGCAGAAATACCATTTTATAGATACAAAGTAGAATTTAATATTCAGATGATTTCAGGAAACAAAGTTTTCTCATTTTAGCAAAATTTTATTTTAAGATCTGTTTTAAAGCGCTAATAAAAAAGTAGAAGTGTGTGCATACCTTCAAATTATATATATGGGAAATATATATATAGGTGAGTCTCAATTAAAGCTGCTATTTGTTTGTTTTTTATATGCCAAAGTGATTGCTCTTTTTTAAATTTCTTGTTGCTACGGTGTTGGAAATAACTCTTAATTGAAGGTGTTGAGAATCTTAGTTATTTTTGGCCTCCTCCTTTCCCCCTAATTCTATGATACAACACTACCTGTAATAATTAGTTCAGATTTATGAGATGTTTCTCTTGCTGTTTAAAGCTCCAACTTTTCAATGAATTTCAGGATCTGCAGGGTTTAGAAAAGGATGATGTCTGCAGGAAGAGCTCTAGAAATAGATGAAAAGTTGTCAAAGGATCACAGCATAGCTGAGGTTGGAAGGGACCCTCTGGAGGTCATCTGGTCCACCCACCTGCTCAAGCAGGACTACCTGGTTGCCCAGGACCATATTTAGACAGCTTTGGAGTATCTCCAGGGAGTGAGACTCCATCCTCTCTGGGCAACCTGTGTCAGTGCTCAGTCACCCTCACAGTGGAAAACATGTTTCCTGATACTCAGACAGAGGCTCCTGTGTTTCAGTTTGTGTCTCCTGCCTCCTGTCCTGTTGCTGGACACCACTGAAAAGAGCCTGGCTCTGTCTTTTTTGCAGGTACCTGCAGGTACTTTTACACATAGATGGGATCTCCCTGAGCCTTCTCCTCTCCAGGCTCAACATTTCCAGCTCTCTCAGCCTTTCCTCAAATGTGAGGTGCTGCACACCCTTCATCATATTTGTGACCCTTCACTGGGCTCTCTCCAGTATGTCCAGAACTGTCCACAGTATTCCACGTGTGGCCTAACCAATGCTGTAACACTCCCACTTCTGGTAACACTCCTCTTAATGCAGCTCAGGATGCTGTTACCTGCCTTTGCCACAGACTTTTCTGTAGTGTTTCCTTTAGTTATGCAGAGTTTCCTTCAGAATATGCTGTTTTGAAGGCATTTCAATGAGAGGAGTCTGGGGTAAATGCTTCTCTTGAAGAGTTTATTTTTTTCCTGAGCTCCCATAGTTCATTTTTCTTGTCCTTCTTCCAGAAGGTGTGCTTGTACAGGGTTCTGAAGCAGAAAAGATCCTGAGGCACTGTACTGTTCTGAGAGGACTGTTGAGTATATAAAGCATAGAGGTTACAGGAAATGAGGACATACAAGCTTCTCTGACAGGTGTTGCTTATGAAGTTTGTTGGGTCACATAGTTAAGCATGCGAAATCCTTCAGCAGTATAAAGATAAAATATACAGGTTATCCTAAATGTAATTTTTCTGGCTTTCCTGCTGAAGGTTGCACCAAGAAATTACTTTAAAAGTTTATAGATTGAAAGCTCTTGAAACTTATTTACAATATATTCTCATGTATTTAATCTTACAGGCTCATGAGCGACTGGAAGATTCTAAACTTGAGGCTGTCAGTGACAACAACCTGGAGTTGGTGAATGAAATTCTTGAAGACATCAGTCCATTAGTAAATAAAGATGAAAATATTGCAGAATTGGTTGGAATACTCAAGGAACCTCATTTTCAGGTGCCACCTTTTTACTGTATGTTACCAACTTACTGTATCAGTCTCTACATATGGATCTAGGAATAATAATGAAACAAAACCTGACATGTAGCAAACTGTAATATGTAGGATTTTACTCTGAATGAAAGGTAAAGTAGAAGCCCTGTGGGGTTACAAATAAGCCTGATTTTATTCTTTGATATCACCTCAAGAATATCTTCACTCACTGTATTAAAATCTACTGGAGTTTCTGATATAAATCTTGGACAAGCATTTGCTTTCTATATGAAAGCTTTCATAACAATTCTTTGAAGGCTTCATCCTTAACATTTTCAGGTGATCTACTGATAATTCTGCATTTTGGTTCAGCTGTTGGCATTCAAACTCAAGTGTAAGATGTACGGTTTGCAGAGTGAACACGACTCTTCTGTGATCTGATCTGTACTGCAGCTGAAGTTCAGACTCTGCATCCCTCTCCCTGTTGCTCTGCTTAAGTGAGGTGTTGACGTGCTTCTCAGAAGCAGATGTTTTTCCATAGCTGCTGTTCTATGACCAGCTTCCATACTGACTCTTAAAGATTAGGGTTTGAAAATCCTTGGTTGATTTTGGCCTTCCCAGGTGGGCTTCAGCAAACTGTAGTACTTAGCTCTAGGTATCCTGTAGAAGAACAGAAGCAAACCTTTTGCCACAGTACCTTTTGGCACGTGAGTATGGAGTCATGGATATTTTTGGGGTATACGAGTTTAAACACACTTTTTTCCCTAGGCTTTCAGTTACAAACTATATAAACATAGCAGTGAGGTGCATTACTGTTTAACGTGGATAAACAATAGAAATACTGGGAGGCTGTATTGTAGTCTCATGGAAGAGGGAACACATTAAGTCCTCAGCTTTTGAGGTAGTAGCTCTTGTGAGTGATGACAGTTCCACTGCCTCTCCTGAAGAGCAGTGTGTTGGCCTCCTGTCCAGAAAGGCATCATAGCTAAGTGATCAAAGGCTAAGATTTGGAGACATACTGGTGAATAAACCTGAAAATCAGTCTTTGATCTCTTAGCAGAAATTGATGCTTAAAAGGAGAGGAAGAGTTTGAAGAAATTGGTATTGAAATGCAAAAGGATTAGAATTGAGGGCCAGCTGGTACAGTGACACACCTGACAAAGATCTATTGTGTTAAGTAGAGAAACTAAAGCTAAAAGTTAAAGAGGATGAATCAAAAGATGAAAAGAACATAATAATGGAAGTGCTGAACTTTGAAAGGCACTGTAGCAGTGATTTCTGGAGAGAAATGGCAAAGACCAGAAAGCAGCTGGGCAAAGGATCTTTGGGATGGAGACTGAAAATGACCTGTAGGAGAGTGAGGTCAAAAAAGAATTTATTTAAAGTGAATAGCCAATACAGAGGCAAACCCAGCATTCACTCCTGTTCAGTGGTCAGATTTACAGAGGCACAGCATGATGCTGGTGTCAAGTACTCCGTTAGTTCAGGCTTAAACAACTTAAATGAGTAATCTAAAAGTTCTAAAGTAGCTGGCAAACTAAAATGTCAATATTTATGCTCTTTCTTCTATGTGTTTTGTTGTTTGCTTTATAAAGAGCAGACGTGAAATTGCATATTGCTACCTTAACTTTACAGTTTTGCTCTGATCTTTTGCTAAGTATTTCATGTTAAAGGTCCATTTAACAAACATCGCTGTTTCCCTTCTCTGTCCCAGCAGTAGACATCTAATGAAGACTGTAAGGCTAGGACAAGCCACCTGTGATACCTCCCAAAACGTTTTGTGAGGATTTAGTAATTTTTTTGCTCAGACTTCTGAATGAGAAGTGGTATCATTCACCTGTGGTTCTGTTCCATGGGCTTACTCAGTTGTTTTTTGAACCCATATGAAAGTCAGTCATTCACAGCATCCCTCATCAGAGTGGAGACTGTGCTTGTTTGGTTTTGAGACTGTCTCTTTTCAATTTCACTCAATATTCCCTTGCTTTTTTGTAGGAAGAAAGTGAACAGTTTTCCCTTATCAGCTTTTCCATGTTACCAGTCATTTGAGGGACCTCATTGTGTCTGTCTCAAGCAGATAAAATGAAGGGAAGCAAAACTGTATGCAGTGTGGATTTATGAGGCGGTGTCATAAATTCCATTGCATCTCCTACTCATGGCCTAAAAGTTCCTAGTATTTGGTTTGCCTTTTTAACAGCTGGTGAATAGACTGGAATTGCTCAATTGGAAGGGACCCACAGTGATCACCCAGTCCAACTGCCTGACCAATTCAGGGCTGACTGAAAATTAAAGCATGTTATTAAGGGTGTGGTCCAAATGTCTGTTAAACACTGACAGACATGGGGCATAGGCCACCTCTCTAGGAAGCCTGTTGCAGTGTTTAACCAGCCTTTCAGTAAAGGAGAGGTACCTCTAGGCTCAGAAACATAGAAGTGGTTGTTAGACTTGGATTGGTTTTGTACTCTTTGCGTCTCGGAGATACCATTTCTGAGTCTGTCAGTTAATATGTTAAACTAGGATTGTGTTTTCCCTTGCAGTCTATTGAATTTATTTGCCTTGCCCTCACTCTGTTGCTCCTGAGGTGCCTCTGCAGGTTATAGTCAGTAGTTTTAGTCCTTGAATAGCTGAGCAGCATCAGCAAACCCTGTCACTTCACTTCTCATCCCCATTTCCTAGATCATCTATCTGACATGTCAGTGTATCGGCAGGACACAGGACTGAGCACAGGTGCCTGTGGGTCCCCTGGTGACATGAATTCTGGAAACTAATAATACTATATTCCTGGCCCCAGTTTTTCTGTCTTTTAACCGATTATTTTCTTCCACTCAAGGGTCTTACTGCTTATCCTATTGTAGTTTTGTTTCTTTAAAAGACTTCTACCACAGGCCCTATGGAAATTGATCTATATTAACAACTCTAAACTGCCTTGTTGCTGTGCCTGGTGACTCTTCCAAGGAACCTGACTAGATTTGAGACTCATGACTTCCCTTTATTAAAGCATGTTGTGCTTTCCAGTGATCTGTTTTGTCCAGCCATTCTGGTTTTTTATGGAAACTTCTAATTTGTTTAGTATCAACATCAGACTTAATCTTTTACCATTTGTTGACTCTTCCTTGGAACCCACTTTAACAATTCATGTCATGATTATTGCATGCTGCTGCTTCCTGAGTGGGTCATGGGTATGTAAGAGAAATATGCTATTTCTAGAGCTCCCAACTTCATTTGCTGCAAAACCTGGATAGCACAGAAAGGACAAAAAAGTGTGAAAGGAAAAGACTATTTGATGGTTAAGATAGTCAAATACTGCCCTGAAGAACTAACCTATTAATCACTCTGTCAGAATTAGAATTCCTTTGAAAAAAAAAAAGTCTGAAGCAACTTTAACTTGTATTTTTAAAATTTATTTTCTAAGTAAGTGCTTGTTGTGAGGCCTTCAGTATCATTTCTAGAAACAATGAGCACTTTCGGCTGCTGTGTACAGGTGAAAAGCTACTACTTTGAAATATATCTGCTGTGATTCAATTTTGAAGCCTAAAATTAGAGCATACCTTTTGGCCCTTAACTTTATGCTTCCATCACCCATGGCGAGGCAGGCAACAAAACCAACTAAGACCGAAATACTATTATTTTGATTAAATGTTTTTATTTAACTGATATTGTAGTTATGATGTCTCTAGAAGAGCTTCTGGGGTAATTTTCAGACCAGACTGTGGATACAATATTCTGAGGCTTGGGGAAGCTATATGTCTCCCTCTCTGAAAAGGAAAGAGGAAATTACCTTGCTACTCAAGAAATAAGTGCTATCTTTTATGCCTCATTTGGTGCAAAGAGGCATATTCCAAATTCTGGAAGAAGGGAAAAAGGAAAAACACAGTGTCAATTGCAGTTATAGAAAATGTCATTTGTATCCTTTCTCCAGTTCAGTAAATGTGTAAACAAGCCACCCTGACTCTTCTGAGGTTTCATGGACACTATTGTGTAACAGGTTTAGAGGTTGATTCTGTATTTTACAAATGAATGGTGCCACTTTATCACAGCATCACCTTACAGTTGTAACCTACCTTAGCACACAAGTATCAAATGTGCTATACAATCATCAGTGCAATAGCTTATTTGAATGTATCATTTAGTGCTAAAAATACCAAATTACAGGATTTCATTTCTTCTACACATTTTTATGGTAGAACATTTGGGAAGGACTAGCTTCTGGAGTACAGGTGCATGCATGGCTATAGGATTATGTTTGCCTGACTTCCCTCCCTTTTCTTGTTTCTCCTCTCATTCCATTCTTTTTCTTCCCTTTGGGTTTTAACTCTTTTTAAAAGTTTTAACTAAACTTTTCAGGGGTCAAAGTGTGGAAGTTCTAATGAGTTTCACAGTATTGGTGGCTGCCCATATGTGTTGAAGAGCCAACTGGCAGAGGCAGCACATGGCAAAGGCTGTAGAAAGTCTTACCAGGCAGTGGCTGGAGAGCAGAGGTGAGGAATGGTAAAAGAGGTTGCCTTGAGGGAAGAGGAAGGAGTTGAAAATTACCACACTGCTGAAGTGGTTAAACATGCAGAAGAATCACTTCTGCTGCTTATGGAAGACCTTGTTCAATTACTTTCACCTTTTCAAGAATTAGGCAAGCCATTCATCCTAGATAGTAGATTCTGCTGGCAATAAAATACTTAATCTGAAAAGCAGCCAATATTTTCTTCTAATAGTTAGGTTTATAATGGCTGATCAGACCTTTAAAATGTTTCATATAGAATAGTGATAAGTTGCCTCCTACACAGATACTAATTTATAGGGTTATTTCCCCCACATATTCCTGTCTCCTTACCAGCCTGCCTGATTTCTCTAAGATCATAAATGATTTTCTCACTTTTTCAGAATAGCCTTTAAAAATGCTTCATAACATGTGTAGATTGTGTTGAGAATTTTTTTTAGGAAAAACGAATTCTGAATTTAAACTTGGCTTCAGCACTGCAGAGAGCCTTGGATGTTCAACGTTTCTCTGAGTTTTTACTTACTTTTTTTTTTCCCCTATTGAATATGTGCAGCCACAGAAAACTACTGTAAAGAAGTCAATATCCTCTAAGTTTATGGGTTATTTTGTGACAGCATCTTGCATAAAGGGATCATACTGTCTGCCCCAGGACTGCCTGTCTTTTGTGCGATATCTCGTGTGCTTTGTAGAGTTCTTCTAAATTTCTTATTCTGACAACACTGACATTTTTTTCCATGAGAACCTTTCTACAGTTATCCAGTCTTGGATAGTCAGCTGATCCTGTTTACAGGAGGAAATTTTGTATGGAGGAAACTTTGAACCGTTTTATGGTTTTTAATTGTTCACTCCATGTTGTTTTGCAGACTTTGGCAGTGGTTTTATAAGTGTTCCAGGACCAATATGGAAAGGTCAGATTCCAGGGGAGCTCTGGAGTTGCAGGGGCACAGGATATCACTTTTTCCGATAGCACAAGAAAGAAACAAGAGAAGTTCACACAACTGTATTTCTCAGATCACTCAGCCACGTTACTGAAATAAGAAAGTAACTTAGCGACATAGTTGGCGAGGGGTCCTGCAGCGGTACAGACACATGGCCCCTGTTGCCAGGTGGCTGTGCTTAAGTGTTCTTCAAGATTGTAGGCCATGACCTGGCTGGCTGGAACAGCCTCATAAAACTGGTTTAGATTCTTGAGTTTCAGATCTGAGAGTTAGGGGTGAGATGGTAATAAGTGAACTATGGTTGCAAGGAAACCAATGAACTACTTTTCTTGAAGAAACCACTTTATAGTTCTGGGCAGCAGTGTACAGTTCCTGATGTAATGTAATGGCCAGTCTTCGCGAACGAAGAACCGGGAAAGGTCTTTCCACCTTCCAACCTGCACATTGGATTTTTTAGGTGAGACACAGTGTGCGCGGAACTGAGCCCACCCTTTAATCCTGAGGTTCATCTGCCGGGGCCAAGCGAGCTTGGACGGTGGCAGCGAGGTCCTCAGGACGTAGATGGATTGCCTTACAGGGCTAGCGAGCTCCATCTGCCCGGGGAGTGTCCCTGACCGGGAATCGAACCCGGGCCTCGGCGGTGACAGCGCCGCGTCCTTAGCCACTAGACCACCAGGGACTCCCTAACAGTTCCTGATAGTCTTTCTGTGACCGAGCCATGAAATAGCAGGAGAAAGATCCTCTGATTGAGAGATGGTTAAGTAGCAGTTAAAAGACTTTTTGCTGATACATCAAACTGAGTGGTTGAAAAGTAGCAGAATGTGGAATGGGATCAAATTTAAGAACTGAAGAATCTTACAGAGCACGTTAATTTGAAAAGGATGACACAGACTGTTAGCTTAGTAGTCATTTTGACTGTGGATCAAATTATAATCCATAAATTGCATTACCATTAAAGGGCAGGGAGCTGTACCAGCATAGTTATGTCTAAGGCTCCATGAAAAGTATAGTGGTTGTGGCCAGAAATTTTGGGAACAATTTTGTTCTAGCATGTGGCCAAAAGAAAGCTGGAATTATTGTGCTTATGTATCTACCTGGTTTTAGCAGTGGTAAGGTGTTAAAATGTGTAGCTGATGCTAGTTGGTTTCATTTTGGAAATGCAGAAAGATCCCCAAAAAAATGTTACTTGCAAACATTGACAGAGAGAAAACCATTCTCCTGGTTTGGATTGGATAGTGAAGAATTAGAAACTGCTATCATCTGACAGCTGCTTGATTTAAATAAATGATTGTTTTTCCTATTTAATTTGATTTCAGAGTATCAGAGCAGCCACAATAAGCAGCTGTCTTTAAAGTCTTAATAGAAGGGGCAAAATTGGTGAATTAATACCTTCTAACCTCAGGTTGAAATATCAACAGGTTCATCATGTAATGGGCAGATTAAAATGACTGTTCAGGTTTGTGACCCTTTGAGGGCTTGTATGCTGAGCTTAGCACTAAACTAATGTGGTTACACAATGTTTAGCTTGAGGGTGGCTTACAGAAGGATGGAGTGGACTGCATAGCAAAATCAGTAATGTCACCTACTTGCTTGCTCTGCTTTATAGTAGTTCTCTGTCTTCCTTTGGCATGTGCGTGTCAGTATCAGTGATAGTCCCAGTGGTGTCTTCCCTTTTTAGCTACTTATGTGACACCAGTCAGTAATCTGATTTAAGCCTGTATCTCACCAGGTCACTGAAACAAAGCTACATTGTTTGAGGCCTAGTAGGTGTCTCCTCTGCTTGCTTCTTTTCGTCTCCCTGCATCTGTCAGTGCAACTCTGTGCTGTAGGATGCTTTATCTTGAACTACTGTATATGATAGCTATTGGGTGTCCCTATTCCTCTCACAGAATCATAGAACAGTGTGGGTTGGAAGGGACCTTTAAGATTCCTGTTCCAAGTGACCCACCACAGGCAGGGACACCTTCCACTAGAAGGTGACAGAAAGACAGGGAGTCTCCACTGTCTTATTTCACAACTTTGATCTTGGTTTAGCTGTATGCATTGTCTTAGAAACTTTTCTTTAAATCTTAAGGTATCTTTTATCAGAAAATCATGCCTAAATTGCATTGTCTTGCAAGCATGATGATATTTGTTTGGACCTCCTCCTTTGGCTTTGTATTTGTGTGGACTGGTGAAAACACTTTCAGCTATAAGGTCTGAGCTCTTGTCTTCCAGAAAGTAAATTCTGTTAATTTGGATTCATTTGGTGCTAGCGTTTTGCCTTGGCTTTGTGCAAGCATTCATTTTGCAGATTGCTAGAAGTCCTTGCTTACCCGTAATTATCCAAATTACCGGTGAGGAAAATTTTACTACATTAAACACAAGTATCTAATGATGAGCTATCTTCATTTTTTGCAGTGAGTTGTTTGTTTACTGTAACCATTTGCTGGAATACTTTCTCATTAGGTGAAAGACTATTATAGGTACTCCTTATTCTGTCTCCTTTCCTGGCAAGATCACACATTCCTCCCAAATTAATTACATTTCTCCTATACTTCCTTAAGAAGAAGCATTTGTATTTACAAAAGAAAACATATTTGCCAAGACAGGAGGCTTATCAGTCCATGTGAGCACTGTGGACGTCAGTTTTTTCTTCATTCCATGTGAAGTGAGAGTTTTATGATCTGGCCCCAAAAGGTTGTTCAGCACTAAATCCTTTTGCAAATGCTTATTTCAGGATTTAAAAAAAGACCTTTTCTGTTCCTTTGCAGTCACTCTTGGAAGCACATGATATTGTTGCTTCAAAATGTTACGATTCCCCTCCTTCTAGTCCAGAAGTCAATAATTCTTCAGTGAACAACCAGGTTGTTCCAGTAGATGCTATTCGTATCCTTGGAATTCACAAAAGAGCAGGAGAACCATTGGTAAGTAACTGAAGATGAATTTGTCTTTAGATTAAAGTACAGTTGAAAATGTTTGCATGTGCTTGGTTTCTTGCATTATGTTTTAATTATTTACAGTATTATGTTGTGTAGTTTAATGGGTGATAAGATCAGTATTGAGAGGTTGAAATAAGAAGATCCTTATGTGTTCTCTCTCTAAGATATAATGGGATAGTGAATAGGCAGTCACTAGACCAAAGGACTTGCTAGCATAACTGACTCTAACACAACATGTTTGGCCTTGAGACAAGATGACAGGGTCTCATGCAGCCAAGAACAATGCAGTCATTTTTCAGGCATATGAAAACCCTGTCTGAAAGCACTTTTATGTCACCTGATGCCTCTCTGTGTACTGGGAGCTCTTACACCCTAGTAACTGTAGGTGGAACATCCCATAGCTGTGCATTTCTGGTTGAGATAATGGTAAAATGAAACTGAGATTGAAATAGTGGTAAAGTGGTTGTCACATCTCTCGTTCAGGGTGTTACATTTAGAGTTGAGAACAATGATCTGGTAATAGCACGGATTCTTCATGGAGGAATGATAGATCGACAAGGTCTTCTGCATGTGGGTGACATTATTAAAGAGGTGAATGGCCATGAGGTTGGAAACAATCCAAAAGAATTGCAAGAACTGCTGAAAAACATTAGTGGCAGTGTCACTTTGAAGATTCTTCCCAGCTACAGAGACACTGTTATTCCTCAACAGGTCAGTGGCACATTTCTAATGGTTCTGTCAAAAGTTCTTCTTAGTACTGTATTATGTAAGACTATTTTAAGATTTTGGATTAAACATAGTTTGATTATTTTGTGTGTATAATGCTAGGAAGAAGGCTAAAATGAAGATACCAATATTAACTTAATTACATTTTTGTAATGTGTTTATTCATTACCTTAATGTGCCACATCCAACATGCCTGCCTGAAAAAAATCTCATATGTGAAATCGATGAGCTGTTATATATTGCATGTAAATATGTTTCTTTGACACCAAGTGACCTCTGATGACCCGGCCACAATCACACTAATATGCAGTGAACTGAGTGTGTGTGTGTTTATAACAGGGTTGGTGTCCAAGTAATCTGTTCCATGGAATTCAGAAACATACTGAATGCAACAGATTAGCTTGAACCCACTGACTTACATAGGAACTGAGATGGAGGCTATTCCTTATCCTTTTGTTGCTGCAGGCTGTCAGTTTCTCCATGGCAGAAGTAACTTGTTGCTTTAAATCAGTGCCTTTGAAACACCTTTTAAGGCCTTAATGCCCGTGACTGTAGCAGGCTCTGCTTACATTGAGCAGAGGCTGAGGAAATGTGCTTGTGTTCGAGGCAGCGCTTCCTCTGCTCCCCAGCCTGATACAAAGAAAGTCAAAGATGTTTCCAGTCCACAGATGCACGTTACTGTTTCTTCTCCTGCATCAGATTTGAATCTTAAGCAATCACTGAGTTCATCTTAAGATTCCACAAGCCTTGAATACAGTGCTCACATTCTGAGAATTTTTCTGTATTTTTAAGTAATTAAAACTCAGAATACTAATTAAGTTTTGTATACTGAAATGCAGAAATGAATTTTTTGTAATACATTGTCCAAATAGAACAGTTGTTTTTTTATTTTTATCATGAAACCTCTTCAGCCAATGTTTGCACTGTTGATTATTCTGTCTCAGCTGGTATATGACTTTTTTTTCCCCCTAGTTTGTATTTTACATGCCAAATGCAACTTTGATCATGTCAAGATTTTATGCTCTAGGTAAAGACATTACTTCAGTTTGACAGATAAATTAGTCAGAATGTATTTTATAATGTCTAAGCTTTGTTAATTTTTGCACATTTCAGGTTTTTGTGAAGTGTCATTTTGATTATAATCCATATAATGACAACCTCATTCCATGCAAAGAAGCAGGTTTGAAATTTTCTAAAGGAGAAATTCTTCAGATTGTAAACCGGGAAGATCCAAATTGGTGGCAGGTTGGTAAAAAGATTAAAATAAATTAAACAAAAAACTGAAGAGCATCAGTAGTTGCCTTAGTAATGAACTCTTTAAATTATGATCTTCTTCTATTTAGCAGTAGATACAAGAAAAAATATTTATGCTGCAATCCAATTTCAAGCTAATATCAAATATTAATAGCTGAAACCAGAAGAAATGGAATGTTTTAAGTTGTATATGTAAGGCTTATTTTGCTGTTAGGGCTACTTGTTTTGTTTTTTATCATAGCCTGGACGTTCCAAAATCAGTTTAAGCGGACAGTTTCTAGCCAAAAGTCTTAGGTTGACTATGTTAATTGTGGTAAGCCTTCCCTGACAGCGACTGTGGAAGACATGGACCCCTTCCTGAGTGCTCAGAGTTGAGGAGAGAAAGAGGGAAATTAATCTTACGGATTTGAAGAAGGGTGAGAATAGCTATTTGGAGAAGATGTATCTTTTATTTCTACAGTGGTGATCAGTGTCTCTGAGCTGTATCATGAATGTTCATAGTCACAGTGTTTGGCACTATTTCAGATATTAACAGTTCATCCTGCTTAAAGTTTGTATTTCTACATTCAGTCCTTCAGTAGAAATGTAATCCAGTGCTTCTGCTATTTTTATTTTTTCCAAGACACTATACACAGAATTAAACATCATCAGTGCCTTTGAAAGTGGGACGAGTGAACCTTTAAGACTTATCAACTGAGATACTCAGAATTGGAAGTGGCAAAGAGTTTAGCATTATTAATTTCCCTTGCTACCCCTACATTGTTCACCCTTTGCAAGGTAACAAGTAGAGAGCCAGACATTACTTGAGAACAATATATATGACTTCTTTAAAAGCAGCAAAAATATTTGAGTATGCATAATCAACTGCTGGATTTTGTTGCTTGTGAGTGACAGAAAGAGAATAAAAAGTGTGAGGGAAGACAGAAAATTTATTACTGCCAACTTAATTAGTTTCAGAAGTTAGACACTCCAAAACTCAGGAGTAGTTTGACATTTAGCTACCATGCTGACTTCTGTATTGCTTTTCAAATTCTCCAGCTGTAACTTGTGGGAGTCCAAGAGAAATAAATCTTCAATACTCGATCAGTGGCAAAATTGAAATGTGTTAAATTGCTATAGTGTATTGCTATGCAGATCATGCCCCTGGGAAAAAAAAGTTACTTTTTCCTTTTACTTTCTAGAAATGCCAGACTGTTAATGAAAACTTCATACTGTAAAAAATGAGTTGGTCATAGGTAAAAGCATACAAGTTGAAAAGCAAACCTTTCCTATTAGCAAATGAAAGATTTATGCAAGCAAAGGATGCATGCAGAATTATAACATTTCATGACTGTGTGTTTGTACATTTTAAGCTTGCTGAGAATTGAACTTGCCATGAAATTATTTTATAGAGAATCTTAGCCAAATTTTCATTACAAGGAATACTTAAGTTACTAAGATTTTAAATGTGGAGTTACTTAGTGAAAGAAGTTTGAAGGCACAGTTAGGCACGTGTTAATGGCATTCACTGTGAAATGACAGTTAATAAGATGCACTGGAACCTGTTTGGAGCAGCTCAAAAATACAAAATAAGTGTACTGTATACTAGAAAATCTTGACTTTTGTCACCTGCGAGTTCAGTATCTGGAGCTATAGAATTCCATTTTAGATTTTCATGCTAAAGGTTTATGGCTTTAGGAGCTTACTAACTTAATGGGAACCAGTAATGAAACTTGTATCTATTTTATTTAAGTTTCCAGAATTGTAATACTCAATGGCAAGGCAGTGTTACTGTAAAGGAGAATTTTAATATCCACATCTGAGTTTGAATTTCTAAATTTCAGTAGTAAATGTATCAATACTCACCACTGAGAAACTCTGGTGGTGTGGAAGTCAAGTCAACACCATGTTGATGACAACAGTGCTTCTCACAAGTTATAATTTTTTGTATTATTTTGTCCCCCAGGCTAGTCATGTCAAAGAAGGAGGAAGTGCAGGTCTAATTCCCAGCCAGTTCCTGGAAGAGAAGAGAAAGGCCTTTGTTAGGAGGGACTGGGACAATTCAGGTGAGATTTAGTGAATTTCAGGAGTAGCTTTTGCTCTGGTTCCATTTGTTTTGCTTTTCCTGCTTTCATAAATAATAAAAATCTGCTGTGAGATTACAGAGAATATTGTGAAATGCTAAATATTATATTTTGACTTTGACTGAAGGACAAAGGCTAAAGTCTCTGCTTAGTGTTCAGAGATGAACTGATTCAAACATGAATCAGTTTTGCCATCTGCTGATGAAAAGTTGAATGAGGTGGGATGGGCATAAGAATTAACTTTTGTTTTTTTAAATTGGGGGATTTTTAGTATGCGCTGAAAGTTACTTAAAAAACCACGGATTTTCCTGCTGCTTTTACAAAGCTTTGTAGGAAAATAGTATTTTTTTTTCTTGCTATACCATTTGATGTGCATGTAAATAGATGTGATCTGCCTTAGAGCATACAAAGTTTTAAAATAGTCCTTATATATGTAATTAATCTAAACTTTCAGATATTCATGTAAATTAGCTTTGGAAAAACATATTTAACAAAAGTGCAAGTTCATATAATTTTTTTATTTTTAGGGCCTTTTTGTGGAACAATAAGCAGCAAAAAAAAGAAAAAGATGATGTATCTCACTACAAGAAATGCAGGTATCTCTTAACATTACACATGAGTCAAAGTTGTCTAGAGTTCTAAACTTGCAGAGTCCACTGTATACAGAGCTAAAGATTTGCAGTAAAATATTTGATCATAAATTTCATAGATCAGATAGTTTTTATGGTTTGAAAGCAATAGTAAGCAGTGCAGATATGGTTGTGCTGAGAGCATCCTTTGGTAGGGGGAAGTCGGAGAAAAACTGGCTGTTAGAAGAGAAGAAAAGCAAAAGCTTTGTTGCCAGCAGATTGAGGGGATGTGATCCTTCCCTCCTACTTTGCATCAGTGAGGCCACACCTGAAATGTACTGAGCATCTCCCCAGTACAAGAGAGACATGGGCATACAAAGGCAGTGAAGGGACTGGAGATCCCTCCAGTGAGAAAAAGCCAAGAGAGCTGGAACTGTTCAGCCTGGTGAAGAGAAGGATCAGGGCGGGTCTCATCAATGTGTATAAATACCTGAAGGAAGGATGGAGCTGAGCTCTTTCAGAGTAGTTCAGTGACAGGGCAAGAGTCAACAAGCAACAATACAGGAGGTTCCCTCTGAAAACACGTTTTCCACTGTGAGGGTGACTGAGGTCATGGGGTCTTTTGAAATAAAGCAGAACTGCTTAGGGTTTTTTTTTTCTTACACCAGTGACTGTGTATTAAACTTTTTTGTACATTTCTCAATGTAGAATTTGATCGTCATGAAATCCAGATCTACGAGGAAGTGGCCAAAATGCCTCCTTTTCAAAGGAAAACGCTGGTCTTGATTGGGGCCCAAGGAGTGGGGCGAAGAAGTTTGAAGAACAGGTTCATAGTACTGAATCCTACTAGGTTTGGAACTACAGTGCCATGTAAGTTATCATCATTCCTATCATCAAATCATACTTTAAGTCTGATTATCTGGAAAATACCTGATGTTTATCCCAATGATTTGGTGTAGGAGTAATTTTGTCAGAGTTTAAAAATTATATAGAATGGGAAAATGAAAGCCTCTTCCTCTTTTCAGACAATTGAACTAACATAGGATGACTGTGAAAATATTTGTAACTGGCAGTTAAATGTTACTGATGCTGCAGAAAACCAGTTTTTGTCTGTGCAGTATTTTAGTCTGTGGATTTCTTCAGTGTCAGTCACCATCCCTTACTGGGGAGATTCTAGAAGTTTCTAGTAGCCTTCTGTAATGAATAGACAGTGGAGTTTCTCAGGTCTGCCTTTCAGTTTTCCCCCTGTGGAAGCATCCTAGGCATTATAAATTGTTGTTTTAGTATTAGAAATGTAGGGAATAGCAACAAACTTCCAATAAAACTGAAGTGTTTGTGCTCTTCAAGATTTGAATAACAATCTGATGTTTTTATATATCTAGCCTGAAGTCCATGGTCCTTCATTTTTTCTCTCTATCAACTGCAGAAAAAATGCTTCTCCATTACTGAAGTATCGTTTCCTTGCCTTCCTTTCAGATATTTTACTCATTCACAACACCTTTATGTTTTTTAACTGCTCCCTCCTGTTTGACTGCTGCCCAGAGAAGTCCACCCTAGCTACATTATTATTCTCCTGCCATGTGCTTTTCAGAATTTCAAAAACAGTCTGTTCCCTTCTGTTTTCAGTGGGAAGTAGATCTGATCATAACAGGGGAGGAGGGACAGGTCTGAAAGGTGAATTGTGCAACATGAGAGAACCAGTCTCTCTCATTTTCTGAAACTCTTCACACCAAAACTGGCCAGGGCGTTTAGAACTGGTATGTAAGGCTGATAACAAGGTTGACTTCTCAGTGTTACTTTTTTAAGGAGATCTTGTCCTGGGAACCATATTATTTTTTATTGGCAAAATAGTAAGAGACTTTTTATTGCTTCTAAAATTCTTACTTGATTTTAAAAAAGCCCTCAGAATTAATTGTCTCTCTAAAATGCTATATAAATGCTTAAATGTATATAAGTAATGCAACACAGTGTTAAAGTACTTTTACTTGGAGTTCTTGAACACACTTCAAATACATAAAAATTAACTTTTCCCAGTCTTGACAGTCTAAGCATGCACATGCAGTACCTAGTTGATTGTATGTAGAATCTCCTCTCTAGAATTTAACTGGGATAATCAGTGATCAGTAACTTTAGTTGGTCTCAGTTTCTTTATTAGAAGAAAATTCTCCAGGTTCTTCAAAAACCAGTATATGTGGTAAATGGCTGAAATGGATCCATTGTGCTATGGAGAGAACCATGTTCTTGGTCTTGAGCTCTAATCTAGCACATTGTGCTGTGGTTTCTCTTCAACAGAGGTAGCTGAACTATTAAATCATCTTCTGGCTGTAAACTGTTAAATCCTGTTCTCTAAAATTTAGTTCAAACTGTTATGATAATATTTTTTTTTGTATTGTATGAACCATTATAGTGTTAATGTTTCTGCAGAATTGTGGCTAAAACCACATGTTCTAGTAATATGTTTATCAGTAATAGCTTCAGAAGATCGTTTTCCCTGAGACTTTCCTATCATATTGAAGTTGATAGGAATTCCTGGAAGGGGGGGATTGATTTCCACTTGTATCACCAAATTGCACCAAGTGCTGATAAAAGTATTACCAAAGGAATCCATTCACTGTTCCATTTAATATGTTCTAGAATTCAAATCTGATTAAATACAAGTAGTGGGTAGTTAATATGGTGATAGGATAGCAAAGTCAATAATAATTCAATAGGATATTTTATTTTATTTTATTTTTACTTTCTTGCTTAAATAATGTCTGTACTGCACAGCTTAGTCAATACCCAAGGGAGTTGATAATGCTTTACTTAAATATTGGCTTTAATCTTTCTGCAGGGAATTTACCTTATTTTAAAGGGTAAGTTGTCCTGGAAAGCAGCATTAGCTGGCTTCCACTAAGATTCTGCAACAGTGGCTGGGCTGCTTCTGATATTTAAGTAACTTTCTTTATAGCTAGCTTAGGTAATTCTACCCTGAATAGCAAGGGCAAATACAGTGAGCAAAAGTTTGGGGGTGGGATAAGGCAGATCTTGTTGTGTGTTCAGTTATTTTCAGAAGTACATTTGGTGTTTGAGAGTTAAATTTTCATTTGATTTCCAAGTCACTTAAATAATTATTTGAAGTGAATAACTAAAAAGATGACATGAATGAGTATTGTAAATGCCGGGAAGGAATAATACAAAGGAAGTGGACAAATGAGTGGGTAAGAAACATATAGGAAAGAATAGAAATAAAGGGAACAGGAGGGGCTGTGCTCAGTTATAAAACTTACACTAGAATAATGAATTAATCTGTACATGGAACAATCACAATTGTATATTAATGCATATTATAATCTCCCTATCTTAATAGGCAGTCCAGTCTCGTATTTTTATTCCAAATATAAAAAGAAAATATTCAATTTATATTTTAAATTTCTTGTTTAGTTACTTCACGAAAGCCAAGGGATGATGAAAAAGATGGGCAAGCATACAGATTTGTGTCACGAGCTGAAATGGAGATGGATATTAAAGCTGGAAGATATTTAGAGCATGGAGAATATGAAGGAAATCTTTATGGCACCAAAATTGATTCCATCCTTGAAGTTGTTCAGACAGGAAGGACCTGCATCTTGGACGTAAATCCACAGGTATGTCATTTATAATGTTCCATTACAAGTGTAGGAGTATAATGTTGAAGAGGTGAAGAGGTATGCCTTAAAATTTGAAGGCTTCTTATCTGGTTTCAAGGTTACAATATCAACTGGATTCGTGCCTTTGTGTCACGTCATTGGAATGAGTTAGAGAAAGATGGAAAAAACCCAGCTTAGATTCTGCATGGAAAAGGCGACTTGCAGAGTAGTAAATAATCTTTTTAGCCAAGGAAGGAAGGCTGTTGAGCATTTCAAAAGGCAGTGCAGGAGTTTCTAAAATAGAAATAAGAATCTTTGCTTATGTGTTCCTGTCCATTGTAACAGATCAGTTTTGCAGTGCCCCTTAAGTAAGGGGGATATGGGGTGAGTCATTCTCAAACTCTGGGTTTTTTTTTTCTTTTTCTTTGCTTCTAGGCCCTGAAAATACTGAGGACTTCAGAATTCATGCCCTATGTAGTGTTTATTGCTGCTCCAGAGTTGGAGACTTTGCGAGCTATGCACAAGGCTGTGGTAGATGCTGGGATTACAACCAAACTTCTTACTGTAAGCAGATGATTTCTTATTTATTTGCTTTTGCTTTGAAAAGGTTATTCTTAGATTTTTTTAAAAAAATTTTACCTTTTCTTTTAGATGGAAATTGTTCTGAAATTAATCTGTAAGAAAAATTAGGCAAGACTTTTGCTGATTACTTAGTGAAAGTTAATCAAATACTATGTATAAGGAAGATTGCTTCTTTCTTAGAAATAGACCTCTTGCAGGGAAATGTTGATTACAAAAATTATTTGTAATGTGTTCTTTGGAAAGTGTCACCCTTGATTATTTGCAGCAAATTGTAGATATTTCATGGTGGGAATTGTTCTTTTATGCAAATGTCTTTCCTTCACTTTCCCCATCTCTCTCCCAAAAATCTTTGTTCAGTTTTGTCTTATAATACACATGTGCCTTAAAACCAGAATCTATAATCCTTGGGTAAGATATTGCAGCTTGTGTAAACCAAGTCAAACAAACAGCAAAAAACCCCAACCATCCAAACAAAAAAACCCCAGTAAAAACAACCAAGAATGCAGGTAGTCCTTGTTTTCACTGCTGCAGCAGCACGTGCTGCACTGAGAAATGGCTGAGACTGCCAGAATAGGAAGTGTTGAACAGCTTCTCCTCCCCTGAAGTTCCTTGGATTTGTCATATAAAGCGAAGTGGCCCATTTTATTAATTAGATCTTCCCTGCCTTTCTGAGACACAGTGCGTAGCAGAGGGAAATGAGACATGCTTCCTCAAGCACAGCAAATTATAAATACTCTGTGTGGGCATGAACTTCCCCAGCTGCAGAAGCAAAGCAAAAAAGCCAGATTGAGCAGTTAGGAAAACTACCCTCTATGTTCAGCAGGGCAGGCCACTTCCCCATCGGAGAAAAGCCGTGGTTTGCTGACAACTCACAAAGATAGTGCTGCAGCTTAGTAGCAATATCTTGAATAATGCTGATGGGACATTCACAGCAGTAAAATGGGGGAGTGGGTTACTATTCCATTAAACGAATGTGTGATTTTTAGTCCTGGATTCTGGTATCCTACATTCTAGTATCTCCATGGATGCTCAGCCTTTCCTTCCTCCCTGTCCAACCTTTCCTTCTGCCTGCCTCAAATGACCCCTGAATTTTGTGCTGCATACAGAAGAAACCAATGTTAAAACTGTCCAGACAAGTATAAAAATAATTTCCTGCGCTTCCTAATATTTGATTCCCTAAGGGACATCCTTGCCTCTCTATTACTTCTCCTTATGAATAATAAAGAGCATGGTTATATTTCAAATATGCATTTATGTGTCTTTACGGGTTCTGAATCGCATCTGTGCACATGTATATAGAGTATGATTTCCTATTTCATATTCTTGTGCTTCCTCAACAAATGAAAAACAAATGTCATTTTAAGTATGATATTCTACATGTTAGTGGGTCTGTCTGTATTATTTCTAGCATTTTAAACCATTCCATTACAAAAATTCTGGCTCTTGTAGTCATACATTTACTTGTCTCCTTCATTTACTGTGAAGGAAAGGCTATTTGCACACTTATTTTTTCATTTTGGCTTCTGTATTGACAACTCTGTCAGGACTTGAAAATATGAAAGTAAATATTGTAAAGGGGGACAAATCTCATAACTGCTTACAAAAAAAATTCTGTTGTGCAAAAGTGGAGAGGAATTTTCTAAGAATGTAGGACTAATGAAACACAAAAATGTACTTAGAGGTACCTTCATGAAGCTTCATAATGTAGGAATAGAAATTTCCTGCATATTTTGTAGCTCATATCAGAACTACAATAATGCAGCAGTAGTTTACAAACCAATGTCAGGTTGGCAAGGCTGAAATGCTGCCTCTAAAAGCCCCATGGTAATCTAGAGCTTTATTCTGATAGAAATGTATCTTTCATTGGCTTTTGTTTCATACTGGTTTAAATCTTGGATTTTTGGTGCTTTCTGTGGAAGCAAAAGGGGCACAAATATATTTACAAAACTGATTGACTCAGTCATTCCTAAAGCATTAATTTCACTCTGGTTGGACCGTCAGTTGTGCGTACAAAAGGATTAACTACCCATTGTGCACACCAGCCCAAGTTCACATGCTTTTAACGATTCAAAACTGCAAGACTGGCAAACATTTTTTTGCCATATTTAACATTAGTGTCACATCTTGAACTTTTTCAGCCCTTTTAATGTATTTTAACGAAAGTTCTGTGGGAATTTACTATAAATGAAAACTTTTCTTGTTTTTAAAATATATTCAGTATATAACTTTTTAATATGTACTGAAGGGGTATTCTTCTGTGTTTGTAAGGATTTGCCAAGTCTTACCATCAAATCTTTAGTAAGATTTAGATTTAGTAATCCTTCAAAATCTCTTCCACAGGACACTGATTTGAAAAAAACAGTAGATGAAAGCGCGCGGATCCAGAGAGCGTACAACCACTACTTTGACCTGACCATTGTCAATGACAACCTGGACAAAGCCTTCGAGAAGCTGCAGACTGCCATTGAGAGACTGAGGCTGGAGCCACAGTGGGTCCCCATCAGCTGGGTGTATTGAGATGTCTTGAGAGGAGCTTAAGTAACAAATAAAACCAAGAGCAGCAAATGTGACATGTAGATACCGATGATAACCTACAGCACCTGTGCATTTTTACTCTGTGTATATTCAAAAGTACACTGTTCTGAATTTTTATAAAAATGTTGAAGAGAAAGTGTACTTAAATATGTAATTTATTTTAATTTTTCTAACTTTTTACGGATAACCTTTCTATTCATATCACATAAAGGAAATGCGTTTAAGCATTTTTCTATGTTTTGATTTAGTACCTTTGCCTTTTTCATCAAAGAAACTTTCAGTCATTCACTTCAACATTTACATCTTGGTCTTACATTTTCACTGTGATTAAAAAAAGGATACTTGAAACAATTTTTGTAAAATTTGTTAATGTCAATGTTTAACTGATCAAAAGTCTATCGCTCTTATTAGGAACAAATACTAATTTCTTTGCTTTTTTTTAAAATTCCTTAAAAAAAAATTCGCGGGAGCAGAATTTTAAATATTAAAAGCAGCAACAAACAGCTCCATTGCTCCAGCTTCTTTCAGCTTAATGTTGGTGCATTCCTGATGTTTCACAATTTCTTGATATCTCTTGATTTAGGTAACTTTTATGTAGGTTCCCTTATATCTGTCTCCTAAGTTATTATAGAGCAAAACCTTGCAAGCTGCTTATTAGGCTTTCTTGGGAACCAAACTGTTAGCCCATTAGAGCTGAAGTACTGATGTTAGGAAGTCATATGCAAGGTAATTCAGTGCAATTTGAATAATGGTGAAGTAGCTTGAGAGAGAATCTGATAATGTGGAGCCTTGTAGGTGACACTTAATGTTTAGGACTATTTATTCACACTTGTGAAAACACATTGCTTTAAGGAAAAAAAAATAGGCATTTTCTTTTCTTACAACATTGTTCTGTATTTGTATAGTGATCTGTGGCTTCATTTCCTGCGATGTCTAGCTGGGTTCTAAATTATCTTTTAAATATTTGTGCGTGATCAACTGCTGTATTTTATGAGTGTTGTATAATGGCATTACTGTGCTTTTTCTCACATTGTTTTTAATTGCATTTTTCATTAGATAGCTTGTGAATTGGAAGCTTACTGCTAGGAAGCAATGTTGTTTATACCTTTTTGGTTTTACAATGTATTTTCTTTTGCTTAGTGACAGTTCTCCCCTCAGTAGGCTCATTGATACAATTTGTGTTATGTTCAAGTTCCTCGATCAAAACTTAGGGTGATGTAAATTTCTGCTTGAGAACAGAATGAAAAGACAGCTTGTTGCTCAGACGAGCTCCTTTTGTGACCATGTTTTATCTTATAGTGTCAGCTGTTGTATATAGTCACATTCACCACCACGTCCTGGGTTAGGTGTCTAAACTGAAGTCATCTGTTTAATTTCTCTTCCATCTGGTGACAGGCACCTGGCTTCTGGATTCTTTTTCAACACCAAAATGTGACACGGAATGCTATCGAAAGGCAGCTTCCTCAGAACTATTTCTGGAGGAAGACAGGCTTAGACATTGTAAAACAGTATTGCTTCCTGGGGCTCTCAAAAGACTTTTATGTGCACAAGGAAAAGAAAAAATGGAGTTGATGCACTACAGGAGAAGTGTGTTAAAAAAAAATCCCTCAAAACACCCATATACTACAAAGATTTTTACAAAGCCTATGAAGTTGGTTGTTGTGGGGAAATAGGGGCAGAGGGGACTTCAAATCCCAGTGTATGTGGAAAATGTCAGTCAAACTTGTATTTGGCACAGGAAATCTTTGTGGCTCCTCATATAGAGATTTCAGTCTTTTAGAAGGAATCTGAAATTCTCTAAGGAAAATTTGTACCACTACTTTGTTTTACTGCTATACTTTTCAGGATGTGTTTTCTCTGGTTTTGTTTGAGTTTGGCAGAGCTTTTAAATGTGGCACCAGCATGGGACTCTTAGTTTCCTTTCCCAGGAAATATGTTCTGTGATCCTATCACTCAGAGGCTGCTTTGAGAAATGGATCAAGTTTTGTATGTAGCAGTAAATGATAGCAGGGCCGTTGCTTGGCTATTTTAATGATTTGCTTTTGGCACTCTATGCTGAACATGACTGAACTGTGTTTGTGTACTGTGTCATAGGAGACCTCCATAAGCTGTAAATAAGATGTGCTGTCTGGACAGATATGATGCCTTTTCATTATGAGTTAGAAAAATACTCTTATTTATGATGCCAAAAATGGGCTGAGTTCACTCTTCCCTAATGAACAGAATGAAACGATTCTTCAGTTTACACACCATAGTACTTTATATTGCAAACGTCGCTTACTTTCATCTTTTTTTTCCATAAGTTTACTTAAACCAAATGAAACACGTGAAACATGGACAACAAGGTTTAGTCAGGAAAAGCTCTCTGCTCCTTCTGTTTCCATCCCAGAGAGAACACTGTCAAAAGAGTCTCCTAGTTAGCAATCTCCAGAATAGCCACGTTCTTGCTAAAGGCTAAAGCTTTAGCATTTGCTACAGGTTCGCACTGTGTGCTCGATCAGGCAGCGAGCACAGTGCAGCCTGGTGGCTGAGCATTGGGTGGTGGTAGCGTAGATGCCAATGAGCAGTACAATTCTTAAGCAATAAGAGAAGATGGCTTGCTTAGGTTGCAGGCAACGATTGTATGGAAGTGTCTGCAGGTTTTATCTGGGTATCCACATGCCAGGTTGTAAGGGGGAAAACAACCCAAACACCACGCTCCTTGCATCTGTTAAATCATGTGGGTTCATGTTGGCATGTGTTTAATACTGAGAGAGAGAGAGAGGTTGGCTTGGTTTTTGCAGTGGAGAGTTTTGGTTTTGTTTTTTAGCAAAAACAGATTTTCATAAGATATTCTGCTAGGTTTGTCACTACCTGGTAGGATGACTAGCATGAGAATGACAGTTACTTTTCTTTTTAAAAAGCATTCTTGGAGGTTCTTACAGTGCTGGTGCTGTTTCAGTGACATCCACAGCAGTGATAATCTCTACCTGCCAGGGTGTGCTGGATCAGCTGTTAGACAGGGACCTGTACATTGTGCAATTAGGGGAGAAAGAAACTATAAAAGGCTCATTTTGAGCAAGTGAAAACATTTCATAGAACAGCTGTTTGAAGTATTTCAGAGGAATTAAAATAACTGGGATTTCATGTATCTCATTCTGTACTAAACATTAATTTTCCAGATCCTAACAGGAAAACTTTTTACATTGACTGTTAATGATTACAATAGGTGTGTCTGAGCGAGGTGAAGATGCTGCTAAATGTTTAAGATATGATGTGGTATGTATCACAAGATAAATATTTAAGTAGTTTAGAAAAGTAAATTATCAAGTAGTTGTCTGTGTATATGTATGTATGTGGATGGTAAAACAAAAAATGCTCATGTTGGTTATCACATTACTAAGCTACCATGACTTAATCCAGAAATGTACCTGCATGTGAGACTTTAGAACTGGTACACTTCTCTACCTGGTTTATTGTGTTTACTAATGTATATTTTTCTAAATATACAGATATTTCAATCTAAAAAATTCTATATTTATCTGTAATTTCTATCTGTTTTGGACAGTGCATGAGGTGCTGTAAAATTCTGTACATATAGAGACTTATAGAAGAAACACTGTCGTTGCCCTGTGAATGAAAAGTTATACATAGAAGTACAGTCAGTATGCCAAGACCTGTAAGTTATTTCCCCAAATTCACCAAAAATTCCCTTAAAGCGTGCACCAGTCTCAACTTTCATGTAAATACCCTGGTGCATGTGTACCCAGATGATTACCTTGCTGTCTCTAAATGTTACTAGCAAGTCTATTTTAGGTTCTGCATCACGTGACAAGATGCAGTTCAAGTTTAGTGGGATAATTATAATGGAATATGTCATCTTGCATAGATTTATAAAGGTCTTTCAAAATGTTCTGCAGATATACAGTGAAGGTAAAATTGGAGCAAAATCACAGACCTTTGTAGGCAAGGAAAATTGAATTTATAACCAAGGCAGTATCTGTAACTTGTGCCGTGTTCTCAGATCAGGGCAGCTCTGTGTACTTAGTCATACAAAAGCTTTGTGAAGTGGGATGGCAGATCAGTTCATCGCTTTTGAATTTGTGTTTATATAAACTGTCACATCTTGGATAGGCTCAAAATGTGACATTTATTTCTCCATCCTCTGTACTCACTGCATCTTCTAAAATCATACCTAAGTGACTTGCAGTACAAATTGCCTGCAGCTCAGTGCTCAGGAAGTCATCTGGGTTTGATTTTGTTTTGAAGACGGTGATTCAGCTGAGAAATAGGAAACTTTTTTCTCTTTGAAGCACAGAAAATCCTTGGCTGGGTACCCTCTTGAGCCCAGCTGGCCTCTCTGCTGTGCTTAAGGACCAGTGGAGGACAATCAAGCAGAGCGCTCCGGAAATAAGGCTATGGGTTCTTACCTGTCCTTACGCATGAGCTAATATTGTGTACATAAATTCAAACTTCCTTCACCTATTCCTTGGTTTCCCATCCAGGCTTCCTCTAGCTTACTGCTCTGTTCAGACTGAACCTTGAGGCAGATGCTGTTCCTCGCTTGCTGTGCCTGTAAGTGCAGCTCTGAAACAAACTACAGCTGGAGCTCTGTCACATCTGTCACGCAAATCTGTACGGACTGTTTGTTTCATGCAGGGTTTCTTTCCTGCCTCACCCAAATTCCAAAGGGTTCAACTACCACATTGTTATTGCCAAATTTCATGGTACTGCTTTTGCAAAAGTGGTGAGATCACTTTACTGATGTCTACCTAGTGATTACTGGATACAAAGACTTGTAGTCTGCTAGGCCTCTTGCCTTAAGAACCCCTCAGCTCCCAGCTGTCCCCCAAAACCTCTCATGGGCCATTGAAAGGGTTTCAGTACTTAAAGGTACTTTAATTTGCTTTCTCTGGTGGACTGTTGGGACCAACCATGCTGAAGTCCTGGCCCTTTTTTTTTTTTTTTTGGCCTCTCCTTCTCAGTTTTCTAGTATGTTTAACAGGCATTCTGATGGACATTGTCTGGGATTCTCCACTTGTGTCTTGTAGAGCAAATAGCCAATATTAAACATCTGTCCTTAGGACTAGTATAACTTAGTGGTTTTAGGCCCAAGAGAGACACTTGAAAATAAAAACTCCTTGTAAAATAACCAGTTTGGGTTATTTTACAGGCAGCGTTGGCTTCCAGACATATTAAAAGTGTGTTCATGTACACAAACACACACACGTAAACCTTAGGGGTGAACACTACAAGTAATTCAGGCAGTATCTGCTAATTTTCCTGAATTCTCCATGGTGGGATGCTATTCCACAAATGGTCATATTTTCAACTGCTGAACTCTGAGTTCATTTGCTGGTATTGCAGCTGAGATTTACCTGTGCAGGTTTAAAACAAAACCCAGCTTGGTGAAGGCTGTTAAGCAATTTCACCTACAAAAAGAATTTATTCAGCAGGGGTTCAGCAATATTTATATTTTATGCAATAAATTACACTTAAATTAATTTTGTTCTCAGTATTTGGAAACATTTCTTACATTCATTGGGTATGAAGTTCCTTTTGGTATTAGGGCAGTCATTGGACAACATAGTTAAAGTAGTCCTGGAAACACCTTTTCCCATTTAGCCTTTTACGGCAGCAGCTCCATGCCAAAGCTTCTCCATGCAACTTTGGCTGTCCTCGTGACTGAGCCAAGTATTACTCCACAGGGAGCCAGCATTTACCTAAAACACAGCAGAGCCTCTTCCAAAACCCCACGTAACTTCTCCGTTATTTGACCTCTCACATGATACGTAGCGTAGAGCAAAAGGAATGGCACTGCTTTGTACAGTTCCAGGGTGGCAGCCAAATTGTTGGTTGCAAAGAAAAACTTGACTGACTTTTGTTTGGTTGGTTTAGGTCTTGTACACAATTATATATGGAGATAACTGTTAAAATATTATTTTTTTCCCCCTATGAAAATGCATGTTGAGCATCCCTTCCCTGCCCCGGTCCCCCATCATATATTACCTGTGTGTAACAGTGTGTAACATTTGTGCACTGTGGTATAAGGAGGGGAACCACCTCTGTGGATTTTAAAATACAAGAAAGTTTGCCTCTCTCCCACCCTACACTGGGCTAAGAATTGTAGAATCTTGGTTAAGTGTTTGGGTTTAAATGTCTATTAGAACTCTGTCACCGTGTGTTTCCTTACCTTGCTGCTTCTCACAACTGGTTTTGCCAGTTGGAAGCTCGTGTGGTTTTTGTTTGGTTTTGGTGTTTTTTTGTTTGTTTTTTTTTTTTTTTTTTTTTTTTTTTTTTAATTTCTACAGCATATTAAATTAAACTGGATTTGACATTTGTAAAATTTTCAAAACTGCTCTCCTGTAAAAAAAAAAAATAGTTTCTTTAGCTGAGAACTTCCTACAAAAAAAAAAAAGTTAACTATTAGCTAAACTTTTTAATGTAAACCTGAAAATTATTTAGTACCTAATTGTTTGAATACTGTACTGTAGAGCAGGCCTAGGATATGGGACTTGTTAGCATTGTGACTTCATACTGATAAAGTCAGCTACTATGTGGGATGTTTTTAAATTGTGACTTGTTTTCTAAGACCCCCTCCTTGTCTTTTTCACAGCTAATATTTTCACAATAAACACAGCCAAACATAAAAATGTTAATGTACAAATGATGAAATTCTGTTAATTCCCAATAAAATATTTTTGTATATAATAAAGATTTAATATTGAAAAAATGTAACTGGGTTTTTTTCTGATTGTTTTTGGTCATACTCTTGAATTCTAGCCAAATAAGGTATCCAGCAGCAGTCGGTGCACCTCTGCCTTTTTATCTCCAGATCTCAAGTGCTCCACGTTCAGAAAAGCAGCTTTTCAGTTGTTTCTTGTTTAGCTCCATTTTCATGAATGTGCCAAAATCCCCATTCCATGAATAGGGAGACCTCGGGGCCTCTTTGGCCACCCTGAGAACGTCACCGTTGCAGAAGTGAGTGCCCTGTTTTCTGAGCCCTGCAGCACTGAGGGTTGCTCTCCTGGGCCTGCACTGTAATTTGCCAGTCTGCAAAAGCCTGGGGGACTCGGGACTGAGCAGCTTGAAGGAGGAAAGTGCTGGTTACCAGCAGCAAGGCAGAGCCTGCTGGCCTCTGGAGATGGCACATGCTTTTTGAAAAGAGGCTGCTCACCTCCTTCCAGATTGCAAAGGTATGGCTTCTTCCCCCTTCCTCCTGGGGAATGCAAAGGGAAGCGGTATTTTTGGGAGGTAAGGCAGGACGTGAAATCAAATCTTTAGTGAGACAAGCTTCAGCCTTCTCTGAAGCACCCTACAGCTCCTTCACCAACTCCCTTCCTAGGGAAGACCACATCTAACCTTGAAAAAGCATTTTCTGTCTGAGGCCAGCCTGTCACAAGGAATTGCTGGTTTGTCCAAGATGTAGCAGATGCTCATCCAGCTCTTCTGAGGTGGATTGTGAATTAACTTGGACCAGAACAGCTTCAGCTGGGTCCCTGAAGAGCTATGTTCTTAGCTTAGGGAAGGGAAGGACAGGAATTATTTGAGAGACAGACTGCTTCTCTTGCTCCCTTGGATCTTCTTATTCCCAGTCTGAGCTATTTTAAAAATTCTCATGTGTAACAATCTTGCACTGAAGAGCATGGAAGAAGGAAGTGGAGATAAAATGGTGATCATACAACCTGCCCTAGTGTTTCTTTTTTTGCCCAGTTGTGCTGCTCCCTCAGTTCTAAAAAGGCCATTCTACCCTACCTGCTGTTCCAGAGGTGCTTTTGTGGTCACAGGAGTGCTGCCAAATGGAGGAGAGCTGGGAAGCCCTTTCACAAAGAGCACCTAAATGGGCCAAAGCCAAGGCTGAAGTGCAGCCAGTGACTTCTGCAGATGCACTGATCAATCTAAAAGCACAGCAGCAGATGAGAGGAGGAGACAAGAGACCCAAGCAATCCTCACAACGAGCAGGAAGCCTGGGTTCCCTGGGACACACTCCTGTTTGCCCAAGCGTCTCTCCTGTTGCCCACATCCGAGGCTGCCCGTTCCGTGGACTGAGCTGAGGCAAAAGCCTAATCACATCTGAAGCCAAAACAGCAGGGAACAAACAAAACCTTTTTTGTTTAACAATGTCTCCATAGAACACCCAGCCTCTGGGAGGTTTTCTACCTCTTTAAACAAGTTCCCCCTTCTACATCTGTGACACAAAGTCACATCCTGAAAGCAGTTACACAATAGAGTGCACAGGAGGCTCACACCAAAGCTCTATAAAGAAGATCAGAGCATGTGGACAGTGGCACCCCCTTTCAAAGCCAAGGGAACCCCCAAAAGAAAAACAATGGAAATTATATGCATGATGTTATAAGTTGTTCTCTTGTTTTGACATAACATTTAATAGAAAGTTTTGATAAATTATTTACAGAGGCAACTTTTGAGTAGCGATTGGCAGAGAAAGACTTTCCCGTTTACACACATCATTCCAGAAGCAGAGCTACATGCTTCCATCCTCCTAAAGGATCTTTCCATCTACACCAGTGCAAGGTTCAGGCAACACCATCAGCTTCATTTAACAGGTTAGATGCAGAAACGCCCCCGGTGCAGCGTGCAGAGCTACCCTGGGCTCTCAGGGTATGGAAAGGTTCCACAGTGCTCTTCTTCAAAGTCCATGTCCTCAGGGAAAGCTGAACTGAGGTGACTTTTGATAATTTCTTAGACAATCTGCTCAAGATCATGTGGGAATAGTGCAGGAAACAAGCAGGATTCCTACCCACCAACTATGCTGCAGGGCCTGGTTACTGATCACCCCCATAGAGGTTCCTGCTTGTTTGTCAGCCATCTGAGAGTCTTATCTGCAAGCCCTGATATTCCACTTACCTGGACATCATCTTCCCAAGCCCACATTTACAGTGATCTCTGCTGCATTTCTGTTCCATCCACAATTACAAAAAATTATGATGGAAAAAAAGGCAGAATAGTTCAAAGCATGCAGTGCTTCACTGACGCTTTGCTGTTAGTCAAAGAAACGAGCAAAGTACCTGCACTTAAAATGTCCTGTGGGTAAAATGATAATTTTTGTGGTGTGCAGCAGGGACCCTTTGAGTGCACACACCAAAAGGCATTGCCGTACCTCAGAGTTCCAAATGCAGTTTAAACAGCTGATACTTGCTAAGGTGAGTAAAAACTTACTAGAAAACAGAAATGCTGTACAGATGCATAAATCCCTAAGGTGGCCTTAGTTTTTGAAAAAAAAAAAAAAAAAGGATTTTATATTTCCTGCATTGTGCAGGAAACACCCAGCAACAATAAGACAACCTAATCAAGTACCTCTTTGAGAGCCCTTCATTCCACCTGCTCCAGAGTGAAGGCATTCTGCACATCCAGTCTTAAAGGAGCAAAACAATTGCTGCATTGCAGAACCCTGGATTTCCACAGCCTGCTTGTCTGCTTGCTTGAAAAAAAGCAGCTTGTACTTTGCTGTTTTCTCCCACGCATATTAATGCAAGCAGTCAGGTTTCTACTGCCCTGCAGATCTGACAACTACCACAACAGCTCTGCTCAATTTCTGTTCCTCACTTCTCCTCTTTAATTCCCCCCCTTCATCCTTCATTTATGTATTTTCCACTGGAACTGCCCTAACGCCTGGCTGTGCTGCCCTAAGGACCCAACAGAGCAGCTCTACTGCTTAGCCCAAACACACCAACACTATGGAGCTACAGAAGAAAGAACAGGCTAGAGCCAAAACTGGATACTCAGTAAAGCTGCTATACATTCCCATCTAAAGCATGAAGCCCACACAATGCGACATAAAGAACAAGTGGGAAGAATCGAGGTTCTTTCATAGTTACAGCTTTTACAGAAGACTCTGTCATTTCCAAATTAATGTTTGATGAAGCCAACAGCCTTTTCGCGACATCAAATCTTCTCCTGTCAGTGAGAGTGGCCACCAAAGGACTGCTCAGCGCCACAGTGCCGTCGGCTGAAGTGACGTCAGGCTGTATTTATGGGAGCAAAAGACAAGAGACATGAAAACATTTTCCAAGCAGTGCTGTTCCTGCTGTTGCACAGCTCTCTTCTTTCATACAAAACCACTGTAGAGCTTACAAGGCAGCACCAAAAGGGCAAGATTCCATTTACTATTGGCCTTACTGATCCAGAACCAAAGCTCTGTGGCATCCTTTAAGGAGAAACATCCCTCCTTACTGTCCATCTGTTTCCGGAGTTCAACTTCTCTCACTGCAAATCACACTTAACTCTCACTCTGAGCAAACAGTAGCACCCCCCTTGCCCCTACATTTTTAAAGGATTTTACTATTGCTTTTGTAAGTGAGCTTAAAGATATCAAAAAATGATAAAAACATAGAATGTTTTGGTTTGGAAGGGACCTTAAAGATCATCTAGTTCAATCCCCGTGCTGCCATGGGCACTTTTCACTAGACCAGGTTATTCAAAGCCCTGTCCAATCTGGCCTTAAACACTTCCAGGGATGGGGCATCCACAACTTCTCTGAGCAACCTCACCACCCTCACAGTAAAGAATTTCTTACTAGCACCTTGATTTAAGCCTACCCTCTTTCAGTTTGAATCCATTTCTCCTTGCCCTGTCACTGTGTGCTCTGATAAAAAGTCTCTCTCCACCTGTTGTGTAGGCTCCCTTAAGGTACTGGAGGCTGCAATTAGGTCACCCCAAAGCCTTCTCCTCTCCAGAATGAACAAACCCAATTCTCTTACCCTTTCCTCATAGGAGAGGCACTCCATCCCTCTAATGCCCTGCACCACTCCTTCAGCAGTTTCAATACGTGGTATCAGAGTTTTGGGACTTCAGAATTCACCATGGCTCAAGCACTGCTGCCATCAAAAGGGAATTTCTGTTTCCCAAGGGGAGGTAATTACTGTTACTGAGACTTTAAAACAGTGAGACTATTAGTAAACTAAAATTCAAGCTTAAGTTACAATTTTCTTTTGCTCACAACCCCATGAAACCTCCCAAATATAGGAACGTTTAGAACTTAGGTATTCACCTGCAGTAAATTCCGTGCTTCGTTTGCCCCGTCTGACTGACCTTGGCTAAGCACTGCCTAAGGCTGAAATTCGCACTGGAGCCCGACATCTCCTTTATTGGGTGAGAAACACGTGAGGCCAAGGACACGGTGGTTCCTGCTGCTGGGCCCACATGCCACACAGCCACATTTCCATTACTCACCAAACAACACAACGCTGGAACAACCTGAAGATCACAGCAGGCACGCAGCAGGACCAGAGTGTAATCAGACAGCTCTGTGAAGGAAACATTAACAGGGAAAGATTGTTTCCAGTGAAGGCTGCACGAGGCTTGCTGCTGAAAGGGAGCCTTTAGCAGGGAGCTCTCTTACGGGATTCTCCTTAGCTGGACGTTTGGAAGAGGCTGATCCAGCTCTTTCCTGCCTGCAGAATAAAATGGGACGGGCAATGGGTCTGCCTGCCTCTGCCCTTGAGAAAAGGCACTAGCAGAAAAGGGAATTTCCATCCCATCATCCTTCTCTCCCCCCTAAGTATCTCCCCAGTGTTTCACCCCAAGTCTACAGGCTGAATAAATGACTTAGGCCTCGAATAAATCAAGGGCCTATGCTCTCAAAATTTATACGAGACACTGGCTTCTGCAAACTACAATCTGAGAGAAAATGACACAGCTGAGACTGCCTTTGGGCTGGGAGATGGAGTAAATGATCCCAGTGGTGCCCTTCAACTCTCTAACAAAAAGGCTGTAATTCCTAACAGGCAACAGGGATAAAACGGCTTTTGAAGATGGATTCAGTTACACTTTAGCTGGATCCAGCCTGGACTTTAGCAGGAGACATTATGTCCAAAACCAACTGATAATGCAACACGCTCAATTAACTGCACCCTGCTGTTAATAGCGTCTGACAAGTCTTACCACATCAGCAGGTTTCTGTTTTCTACTTCTTTTCTGTCTCCATAAATGAGTTTAACTATCCTACCTGGGTACTGTGTGTATATGGATGCACGCTGACATTTTGCTGCACGGTGCCACATCTACACTGGACTTCCCTTCATTACCTTAATGTCAGGAAATTCTTTATATATGATAGAGAAGAGAAAAAGCCAAGGAAGTCTGTCTTGGACTTTGCAGGTAGCTTTTAATTAACACTGTGGTGCCAACTAGATTGTGGGGATGGCATTTGTTTGACATTTATGTTTAATCTCCCTGTTTCAGTAGCTGCAAAACAACCTTCTAATTGCAGTGTTTCTACGTTAAACCCATTTTTGCTAAATTTGGTTTGCACCTCAACAATATCCGCTGTTACACAGGAGACACCACCTAATTTGTAATTCTCAGCACTTAGGCGGGAAGAACTCTGGCATGCCATAAGTACAGAAATTAGCTTGCCAAACTGCAAATGCCCACACTCAGCAGAAGCAGAGTCGAGCAGCCTTGAGGGAATGTGTATTTTACACGCAAAATCTGTCAGTGATTGAGGACTGAATTTAATTCACAGGCAGGAATGCTAAGCATAGTATACCAAACTCATAAAAAAGGAACAGAACAATTTATGTTCGCTCAGCCACCAACTGCTCAAAGAGAGCCATAAATGCTTTAGAATGGAGGGAGCTTCTGAAGAGGAAAATCAAATTAAAAAAATAAGGCTCTTAACAACATACCAGAGATAGCACTGATGAGAAGGTGCGCAGCTGAGAAAAGCTCTACATCCTGAGGCTGATATTTCTGCAACAACAACTCACTCTGTAAACTGCACCCTAAGAGCTGCAAGAAGTCAAGGAGGTCTCTTTGTTGTGCAGGTTTTAACTCCTCCAGGTCTGGCTCATCTCCTGTGCAGATATCATCAAACTGAAAGCAAAAGAATAAGCAAAACTTCTTGAAAAGAGAAAAATTCAAGCAAAAGAGAATGTTCGTGCTATTCTGAAATTACTTTTAGGAAGCAAGCCAAAGTTTTTTCATCTTACCACATCCCCCAGGGCAGTCACCATTTCTTCATGGAGCAAGAGTTCACAAAGGGTTTTATATAAAGCTCTTTGCTTGTCTTCTGGAAGCTTCACAAAGGGCTGCAACTGGGTCTTCAACTGTGACAGATCTTTCCCAAGAAAGCAGTAAAAAGTAAAACTAAAAGTACTTCTACACAAATGCCAGCAAAAACAGTTAACATTTTTGCTATGTGTTTCATAAGTCTATTTATCACCACACCCTGACATCCTGATTTCCACGAGCACAAGTTAAAATGCAAGGCTGAAACAGATCTAATTATAATTCCTAAGGAGCCAATGAAGCCTCCAAGAAAGAACAGCTACCAAGGATCACTATTTTGTTTTCAGTATTTTTAATATTTTAAAGTCATTATTTTAATGCTAACCAAACTAATCACATCTTAAGTTGCTCACTTGACAGCTTATCTCCAGAACATGTACATTTATTTGGCAGAATGACGAGTTCTGCTCATAAATTTACTTCTGATCTGTGGTTAGTACGAATTACAAAGTCAATGGTGTAAGTCCACACACAGATGTTTTAGGATCCTACATTGTTGTCCTCGTATTTCATCACGTAAAAGAAAGAATTACAGTCCTTCACCCCTGACCTAATTATTATTAAAATAATCAGGACAAAAATGCCTTTTTAACTGAAATCCTGAATCCCTTACAGTACAAGAGAATGCACTCCACTTCTTTCACCACAATCCAACTATGATCATGAAACTAAAAACTTTGTGACAACTTGTACCTGGCCCATTTCACCAATATGCAAACTTCCGTTTAAATCATGTTTTAATTCTGTCAGTTATGAAGCTTCTCTGAAAATAATGAGGCTAAGTCTCTGTAATTTTGAGACTTAAAATAACCTCTAACTAAGAAGCTTTACAGAGAGCATTTTTCAAATACAAAAAAGTATTTTCAGTGACCATTTATGAATGAACGCAGCAATCATCGCTTTTCTTATAGAGGTTATCTGGAATGTAACAGAACTGACATAAACACCTGACTTTGTAAGACTGTATTTATGACAAATGGATTCAGAATGTTCCTAGGGAACAGTCCACTGCATATATCTATTGCAAAACTAATTTTTTTATATCCTTTCAGTGCATTCCCCAAGAGTTCCTGATAAGAGCTATTAAAATGAACTAAAAAGATTTTTTATGTTCTATTGTACTAGATTATTTCTCCCTATCATGTTGCTTAATTCACTGTAATGTAATCATGTGAAGCATTTCTGGTAATACCTTGTTTCAATACACTTATAGAAGCATCACTGGGAACGAGGTTTTTAGCCCCAGAGTACATCTCATTATCAACAGCATCTGGCTGATAGAGAAATGAAGCATCTCTGAATAGAGCTGAATGGGGATAAGTTGAACCTTCTGTGCTTTCTTTTTCAAAACCTCCTTGCTGTTCATCTAGCAGACAGAACTCTGTAATTAGAAATTCAATTAAAAACAATAATTAATAAAATACACAAGCAATTACTAATTAAGATGCTAGCTTGTATTTTCTAGTGTTCTTGCACGTGATTTCTCCATGTCTCGTCTCTTCCAGATGGAAAGAATGCCAGATGTTGCTATGCATGTGAATTATTGAGCATTACTGCAGCCCTGGTGTTTGGTACAGCATGTACAGATGAAGATCCTGTGGTGCAGCTGCCACCTACAAAACGTGACACCAGCTCCTGTGAACTAAAGTAACGTAGACAAGCAAATACCATGAAAACTTCTCTCCAACACAATAAAACCTGAATGCTGCATACAAGAGATGCAGGTATGAACTCCTGACATGCTGTAATGCAGGCTACTGATCCACTCATGATGGAGACACATGACAGCCCTCTCTGAGACTCATAAGAACTCTTGAGAGTCCTCCACAGAGCTTCTTTTGGTCATGGCACCAATGAGACTGCTCTTTCTCAGCTAAGCCACAGGTCCCTCCTCAGCTCTCCAGATGAGTGGAAAATAGAGAGTCTCGAAAGCACATCACTCTGCAGTCTCTTTGCAGTAACTTCATGAAGGAAATGACAGGTCCTGGGTGGATTATCCTTTCTGCCTCATCTTTGTGACAAGCACTGACTGACCTCACCCAACCAGGACTGCCCTTTTCCTGCCACCCCAGTGCCCTCAGCTGGATCAAGTTAAGGGACTCCTGGAAGGTACAGGAAGCCTCTTTAATATGCTGAGAAAGCTGGAGTATCAAGTTCTGTGCCCATGTGTCCAGCATTGTGCCCCAAAGATGCACAATATAATCAAAGCTCTATGCATATTCTGATCATCTTTTATTGGCTCAAAAGCAAGGTCTGAATCTGTACCCCTGGGACTCTGCAGGAGGTCTGAGGAGAACACAGGCAGGCTAGCAAAAGAAACTCAATTTTAAAGTAATACCTGGCAGCAAAGGGGGGAAAAAAAAGTAACACTAATCAAGTACGGTGCTCACTTGTACCAGGCACAGAACCTAAATATAACCTTCCTGCAGTTGTAAGACTCTGTCTCACTAAATTAAGGACATTCAAAGCAGATGAGAAAGCATGGAGAGCACTCCATCAGCAAAAAGCTTTTTCAAAGGGAAAGCAGACAAAGAAATCTCTGCCACATAGGAAGAAAGACGACAGACCTTTATGCTTGCATAACCCTTCCCAGAGAAGAGTGAGTTACAGAGAAGCAGAAAGTGATTAACACAAGCTAAGAACTTCCCAAAGCATAGAATCATAGAATCATAGAATAGATTGGGTTGGAAAAGACCTCCAAGATCATCAAGTCCAACCCCTGATCCAACTCCAATTTCTATACCATGGCACTAAGGGTCACATCCAATCTCTGTTTAAAAACCTCCAGGGATGGAGAATCCACCACCTCTCTGGGTAGGCCATTCCAATGCCTGATTACCCTCTCTGTAAAGAATTTCTTCCTAACATCTAACCTAAACCTCCCCTCGCAGAGCTTGAGCCCATGTCCCCTTGTCCTGTTGTTGGTTGCCTGGGAGAAGAGACCAACCCCCACCTGGCTATAACCTCCCTTCAGGTAGTTGAAGAGAGTGATGAGGTCACCTCTAAGCCTTCTCTTCTCCAGACTAAACAACCCCAGCTCCCTCAGCCTCTCCTCATAGGACTTGTGCTCAAGTCCCTTCACCAGCCTCATTGCTCTTCTCTGGACCCGCTCCAGCACCTCAATGTCCTTCCTGAACTGAGGGGCCCAGAGCTGAACACAAT